TTCCATACAGGGGAATTATGGGGAACTTTAAAATTTTATTTATAATTATATTCTGAACAATTTTACTGATTTTCAGCTTGTTGTAAATTTATGTACCTTCGAATGTCTAGATTGACCGGACTATTTGGTGGTGCTTGGATGAGTAAAATCATATAAAAAAGTAGTTAAATATAGGTTGCTTTACGGCCCATAAGAGAAAGTATTCCTAGCGGATAATAATCTTCGCTTTGAAAAGAATTCGTATAAAAGAAATTAAACTTTTTTGTGAACGTTAATGTTGTCCAATGGTGAATAATGTAAAAATAATGTGTGATGTAATATTTATAAAACCAAATTCGTTACTTTTTACTCCAAAAATGTCCATAAGGCGATGTACTTTTCCTTTCATTGTGGCATTTGGCATAATTTCATCAAAATGAAGTTTTGCCCTCAAAAGGGCTTTTACATTCGAATTCGTTGCTATTATTTTTGGCATAATTATCTTTTTATTTATAATTGACAAGTAAATTATCAATAATAAATATTATTGTCAATTTGACAATGTCAAAGTAATTAATGAAATTATTTAGCAGAAGTATCATTTTTAAATACTAAAAATACTAAGTCAAACTGGCATAAGCCACCAACCTAACAAAAAAACACGAGACCAGATAAAAAAAAAGAACTGTAGTTCCACGAAATTTTTTGCACATTAAAAATATCAAATATCAAACAATACCAAAAATTACGAGGTTAGGCAACCCACTGCACAGCCTCCAACGGCGGCCATTTTTGTCAATTTTAAGGTTAACTTGTGAGTGTGGTAAATTTGTGGGTTATGGTAATAATAAATTTGATAAATAAGTTCTAACTGATTTTTGTAGCGTTTTTCTATTTTCACGAAGCCAATTTGTTTGACATTTAAAATTATTTCGATAAAATTAAATGTATTTCAATCTTAAAACAACCCCAGTGCTTCTCTATGTACCGCAATTAATTTTAATTAGGTCTATAGGTTTTCATTAATTGTATGCTTCGTGCTTTTTGATTTAACAATTCATTTGCGGTCTGTTTTAAAATTTTTAAAAGGTTAGATATAGCCAAATAAATCTAGCCACCCTTGTACAACTTCATATCACCCTCCAGTATGAAATTTACAGCGCTTCAAACTTAGACTTGAGTTCCATAATATTGCATTGTCATCCGGTTTATATTCCACATATTATAATATAATATTTAGATATACAACATATGGCTCAAATTTCCAGTCAAATAGCAAACCCAATCTAATTTACATGACAACCAACCAAAACGCACACAAGAAACAATAGAATGGTGTTTACCCTTAATTACAGTAACAATTGAAAACAACGAACAATTTATTGGTGCGTTAAGCTTTATTGTTGTTGATAAAGCTTTTAAATAATTTTTTCTACTCCCACCTTTAAAACGCCCTCTATCGTACATGTTCCCGTGACACTAAGTGACCTTTTAAATATACATTGACAAGTTGTGGCTTTATGGCGCTTTAGTCACGGGCTGAAGTTAGTTTTAAGTTAGTTGACAGTTGTCAAATGTCATACAATCGTTAAAATAAAGTGCCTTTCTTGTAAAATAATACCAAATGTGAAAATTATTTTATTATCTCAATACAAAAATATAAAAGTATAAAATAGTTTCTCAACGCCATTATTTGAAAAGTTTATATGAATATTGTACTGACCTTTTAATTTCGCCTTTTTTTAAATTTGACTCATGTCCCAGACATTTTTTCGGTTGCGTTACGTCCGTCGCGTTACCGATAGAATATTTAAAAAAACATATATATGGCAACTTTTTTGGTACACGTGATCAACAAATGATGTTCGGACGTACACATTACCCAGCTGAAATTATTTATTCAATCAGGAAAAAGATTTCGGTTGAAACAGGTGCGGGTAACGCGAATGTAATAATTGTTTGTCCGCTAAGTTACTCAAAAAAATAATAAAAATAAGGTAAAAAAAAATACTATTTTTCATGTTTATGTTTATTTTAGGGCACTAAAGCTCATTGAGAGTAATTAATGACTGTAATGTCTTATTATTATTTTTTTAATATGGTTTTACAAAACTTTGTCCACTGCGTTAACGAGTCCACTATGTTACCATGGTAACGCAATGGAATTTAGGGTAACGCAATAGAATTTTTCGACAACAAAGTGGATATTTACCGTCGCTTTTATTAAAAGTAGTTTATGATTAACCAATTTAAAATTATTTGTAATTACAACTCATGATATAGATTACATCCAAGGAAAAATTCCACGCAGTACTAAAAGGGACCTTCACCAGCTTATAGTAAAAAAAAGGGTGTCTACAATTTAGAAATCTAAGTTGTTATTCTGCAAGTAAGCACCACTACAAGGGATTTTGTTTATGCATTACTCTAAAATCGTACCACCCTATATTAGTTTCTTTTTTACGTTATCTGATTAAGTCCTTTGTGTACCCCTGTCCGTTGTGATACCAATGTCTATTTCGTTACTTTTTTTAGTTTTTGTTAAAAAAATACTTAAAATGATTTTTATACATTATCACTTGGTAATACGTGTTTATAAATTAGAGTTTAATTCACTAATACAGTGACTAAAAGAAAATATTAACGGTATTGTTTTTTTAATAAAGAATCGGAATGGTTTTTTTTTAAAAAGTAACTTAACGAACATACATATTTAAAAAAAAGCATATAATTTTTAATAAAAAATTAAATAAAAAATTGGAGTCAAAAGTTTGTGAACTAAGTACATTTTATTTCAAATTATTTTTATAACAACTTTTTTAATGAATTAAATTTTGGATTTCAAATTGGTAATGGAGATATATAAAGCTAGCTAAACACATTTTTCTGAAAAAAACGTAAAAAAAAATAAAAAGTGCAATGCCTGTCTTAAATGTGAGTAAACAAAACTCTAAACATTTATAAAAATCCAACCAAAAGTCAATTTAAGCAAAAAAAATATTTTGATCTTCATTTTCCTGAAAGCGGGTGTTTCTTGAAAATGACCCATTTGTCGTAGAAAAAGTATAGTATGCACCTCGTTTATAAACTTTTCTAATTCGTGTATAAAATGGCGTTTATCAAATTTGATACATAATATACTATTGTTTACCTACTCCTACTGCATAGTATTGTTTTTTTCTTGAATAATGATAAACATTATTCCCTGCCTAACAACGGTAATAATGAACTCATGATGCATTGATGTCAGCTTTTTTGTATTTATATTAAAGAACTAATTTCTTAAGACGTCATTTTGTGACAAAATGTCTTATGACATGAGTTCTTTATGCTATTTTATCTATTTTGCAAAAATTTTATACCTTAAATTTAATTTGGTCGAATTTTACTTTAGATAGTTGGTATCACAGTCATTGGTTTGACAGTTAATGTCAAAATCGATTCGCCATGCCGTCCTTAATTTACTTACTTACAATAAGCGGCTGTTAATGCTAAAGAAGAAAAAAAGGATTTTCTTTGGTGTTAAACAAAATTTATTGCCAGAAAAGTGTCGTAAGTACTGGAAAAATCATAAAAATATTATAACCAATGTGCAAAATATTATGCTGTTTAAAGTATAGCCAACCTATAAAATCAAAATTTTTGGTGGGGTAAAGTAGCTCATTACAGCACCAAAAGCGGTGTTACAATGAAGTCATTATGAACGCAAAATAGATAAAGTATACTACTACACTCGAGATTTATTATGGAATTTTATTATTGTTGTTTTATTAGACATTAGTAAACATCACCTATTGAAAGTGCAAAAATGAGACTGTAAATGGTTTATGGCTCTTATTTATGTCATATGTAAAGTATGTGCATATATGCTATTGGGGTTTTATTATATTTATGACTTTATGGATACAATGTTTATTTGGTTAGTTAGTTAGTTTTTTAAAACTTTAAAATATACGAGGTGTGTTCAGAAAATAACGGGAATTGTTAAATTTCGCGGCTTCGGAGGGTCCGGTTGTCATAAAATTTTCTTTATTATGTTGGTATACATTCCCCCGAAGTATGATAAAAACTTTAGCTGTTTTCATTGCTTACTTTGTCTGTGGCAGCCGCTAAGGTTAGACGTGTTTTATGAGCTCGGCGATTTTCGTTCGCTAAAAGAAATGGATCAAAGAGAATTTGTATCCAATATCGATTGGTTCATCCCATGAAATTTTTTCAAATGTTTTGGGTAAGAAACGCGTGGCAGCAAAATTTGTTCCAAAATTGTTAAATTTTGAACAAAATTTTTTGCCAAAAACAATACTGTAATGATGCCCCAGCCTCCATACTCGCCAGACATGCCTCTGTCTGAATTTTTCCTATTCGGAAAAATAAAGAGAACCTTAAAGGGCCGTCCTTTTGCAAGCATAGATGACATTAAAAGCGCATCGCTGAAAGAACTAAAGGCTATTCCAAAGATCGAGTTTTAGAAGTGTTTCGAGTATTGGAAGAAGAGCTGGCACATGTGCATAATATCCAATGGGGACTATTTTGAAGGCGACAACATTAATGTAGACGAATAAATAAATACTTGTTTCAAAAATATTTTCTGAACACTCCTCGTATATCTGGAACTTAAAAATATATTTATATGGATGTTTACCCTTAACGCTTAAACCTTAATTTTTAAACACTCTGTATAAGTTAGGGTAACAAAACTAGGCAAATGTGTAATTCGTCAAATTCCTAAAAACTTGGCAAAATATTTTTTCAAAATCTTTGTTAGAATTTATACAGAGAAAAAACAGATTTTTGGCCAAGTATGACCTTTCTTTTTGACCACCCTGTATAACATTTTTTTACAAAATTATTGTTTTAGAGGATTTTGGGCATGCCGAATTCATAAACGCTATCTGTTTTTAAAGTTAAAAAATGTAAATTTTTTTCAAAAAAATATTCCCAAAATTATTTTTTTAAAAGCAGTTTTAAATTATTTAAAAGTTACTAAAGTAATAATAGACAAATCACGCTTATATACTCACAGTAGCATTCTTAAACAAAAAATATTTCCTGGCAAAACACTACACCACATAATTGTTGAAATACCAAAACGAAACGATTAAAACCAATTTTGAATATGCGTCATTTTGTAGGAAGATTTTTCGCGTGTTGGAAGCTTTAACCGAGCGATTTGTTGAAAACTGCGGGAAATCCGCACGCAACACACGAACGGAGTTTCCACCGTTTCCCGCGCATGGTTGTTGATCATATCAAAATTCGAAATCACCACTCTAATACAGCCAAACGTACGTTATTATAGTTATGTAATAAGGTTAATAGGATTTTTTAGTTATATCAAAAATATGATTATTTTGTTTTTTTTATAATCACAATTTTTCATAAATAATATGAAACCAAATTTTATAAATCTCACGAAATGTCCCCCGTGATATTTAATAAAACTAAATGAGTTTGACCTACACTTTTATTGTGTTTTGATCTATCATAATTAAGTAGATATTACAGCTCAGGTTCCAGATTTTTAACCGCAATTAATTATTTTTTACAATGTTTTAAAAGTCTAAAACCTATCCTCCGTGACTGTTACTCTTTCTAGGTTAACCTATATGTTTTCGAATATCTGAGGTATTAAAGCATACTAAAAATATCAGTTCACTAAGCAAATTAAACACATCCAAAGCAATCGAATCAAATATAAAATATTATTAAATATTAAAAGAAATATTTTTATAACCATTTACGTAGGTGTTACAAAAATTGATTCTATCCTCCGTGAATATGTTTTGCTTTGAATTTTATGCAACGGATGGCGCTTTAATTAATTAAATAAGCAAAAACCTCTGTTTACGACATTATAGATGAATGTGATTCCTGAAGGTCAGTGAGAATTTATATGCAGATGAGAGTGTTGCTGTTTTGTAATTCAAAAGTTTAAGTTCATTAATTTGCTATTTAAAAACCTATCCACCGTGAAGTGTAGTAGATTTTTGTAGAAAATGTATGATTTCTTAAAATTCTTGCATTAGTGCAGAACCACTTATGTTATGTTATTACCAGACCTGGTGGCTTCACAAAAATAAAAAATAATTATTTTCACTTGGGGCCAATATATTCACCCTTATGTGGACCTGGATTAACATAAAATCTGGTTAAAATTAACAATTATTTTTTTACTTTTTTACCACATAAGTACTAAAAATATACTAAAACATAATCAATTATATTAGGCTTAGAAAACTTAATGAAAGCTTAAAAAACTACTATCAAAAGGAGACGAAAAATCCTAAGAAAGTCTTTTATTACAATGGCTGAAAAAAACAATAATAAAGTTTACAGGTTCGAAAACATTATTGTCTTCTTAAAGAGTTTAATGAGACACCTGGCTGAAACTTTATCGTCTTGGAGTTTTTTTTCTTTAAACATTTTACCGTTTTGTGTTTCAGTTGAATGTATTAAGCTTCGTTTTATTGTAAAAAGGGTGGGAAAGAATAACTTTTGCGAAATAAGAGCGGTATCAAAAAATACTAAAAAACGAGTAAAATTTGATATTTGACGTTTAATAAGGAAAGTGGTCGAGATTTTATTACCCGTGGGTTACTTATTTTTTCTACTCACACCTTTAAAACGTCCATTACACTAGAAAGGTAGATTTATTTATATGAACTGATTTAGCATATTAATTAGTGGATATAGGTTTTTGCACGACTTGGCAACGTAGTAATTTTCTTTAAAAACAGATGTTTTATAAAATAAATTGCGTAATTATCTTTCAACGTTTATATTTTCCCTAAAAAAGTCGATTTCTGTACATTGACATTTTAAATTAGACATAAAACAATTAAAATGTCATAAAGATTTATTTGACATTTGTGACATTTGTTTTAACGTCATGCATGACGTTAAACCATGGTTTACTAGATTTGTTTTTTTGCCAATAAAATCATCTAAAATATAAATCGGTTGATATAATTTATATCAGTCGTTAACGGCTGATTTGGCTAAAAATAGACAGAATTTTTGTTTGTAAATATATACGAAAAAATAAATTCAGAAGGTAAACATACCTAAAACAAAGGTATAATTAAAAAATAACATTTTTTTAAAGATAAAATTATTACCTTCGTAATTATATCAAATATCTTTGCTGTTTTTTTGTCTGATTGAAAAGTTGAATGCTTGAAATCAATTGATTTATAACTTTCTGTGTTTAACTGTAAAATAATTACCTCTAACATTGAACTTCGGTTAAAATATTTATTGATTAATTTTTTAATTATTAAAATCATACATACCTTACAAAAATGTTTACTTTTTAATATAATACCTAGATAATTAAAAATATTACTATTTAATAAATAATAAGGATTATAAAATAAAACCAAAATTGTGTCTTATTTTTTAATTTAAAGCAAAACAGATTCACGGAGGACAGAATCAATTTTTGTAACACCTACATAAATGGTTATAAAAATTATTTCTTTTAATTTTTAATAATATTTTAAATTTGATTCGATTGCTTTGGATGTGTTTAATTTACTTAGTAAACTGAAATTTTTAGTATGCTTTTACTACCTCAGATATATAGGTTAATCTAGAAAGAGTAACAGTCACGGAGGATAGGTTTTAGACTTTTAAAACATAGTAAAAAATAATTAATTGCGGTTAAAAATCTGGAACCTGAGCTGCAATATCTAGAGTAGCGGAGGGTAATATGGAATACTGTTTTCTATTATAGTAATAAATTCCTCTAGGTGCAGTACAGTGCATTAGAAAAGTCATTAAATATTGTGATAACTATCCATCTAGGCAAATAAAACTCTGGAATTTCAAAAACTTTATGAATTAAAAAAAAAAATAAGGTTAAATAAAATAAGTACATTCTGACATTACAAAAAAATGGTCGGGTAATATGGAATACCACTATGGGGTAATATGAAATACTAAATGAACTAGAAAATATATGCTTATAGGGAAATTTTAGCGACAAAAATCACAAATGTAAACATCCTTTGGCGTGTCGGCGCATAACTCATGAGCCCAAAGTTCACATCTTGCACACTGAATCCAGATTTCTCCCCTTGTATCAGCCGAATATAATCCCGAACAAAACAAACACTCAGCCTCTTCAGATGGACGATCATAAACAGGAAATTCTTCATCGTCGTTGGATGATGAGTCATGTAAAGATGCAGAACTGTTGGAATCTTCTGATGAATATTTACCTTCTTTTGATTTCTTTATTGCCTTTTTTTGAAATTTTTGTACGCCACTTGGTCCAGCTACCTCTGCATCTGCATGTTTAGGTTTTTTATTCTCTTTGTTTTTGTTAGTTATTTCTATTTTTCTTTTAACTTTATCCCTTTCTTTAACTGACGCTATTTCTATTGATTGCTCCAACTCTTCTTTGTTTGGGGTCGACGTCAAAACTTTGGCTTGACCTGCTTTCCGACCTCTCGTGCCCTCTTTCTTCCTCAAAGTTGGCTTGGGAATTATATCCCGTGGTAAAACTATGGTGGCATTCTGAGCCGTGTTTTCTGGTTGAGGTTTCTCCCGGAGCACATCATCTTCTGAATTTACTTGGACCTCATTTCTTTGTGCCTCCTGAATAAAGTCTTCTTCGGAGAATACGTTCCGGTTAACTGGAAACAATCCAGTTTGTCGAAATCCGTTAACAGATCTTTCACCACTTTGAATTTTCAGATACGCGTTACCAAAAAGTTCACTTAAATCAAAATGATTGACAGGCCGATTATTAGTTCTTAAAAATAGTCTTACTTCCTCACTGTAATATGTCTTTAATGCTCCCATAACAGTTTTATCCAATGGCTGCATCTTATGAGTTGTATGTGGCGGTAAGCAAAGTAAAGTCACATGGTTTTCTCTGGCAGCCAAAATAACGTCCAAATTTTTAGTGTGAGTATGGTGACCATCTAGAATCAGTAGAATGGGATTTTCTGCACTCGGTTTAGCATGTTTTAGAAAATGTTTGAACCATTGTGTGAAGATATCCATCTGAATCCAGCCTGACGGATGAAAGGAAAAAATGGTTCCTGGCGGGGCACCCTTCTTTAGAAGTTCACTGGCATTTTTTCTGGGAAAAATCAGAAGGGGGGGTACAAAATTGCCACTTGCGCTAATGCAAAGGACTGAGGTTATAAGTGAACCTCGTTCGGCTGACGTCATTGCCCCAACTTGCCTTTTTCCCCTTAGAGAAAAAACTTCTGGATTTCTTGATTGAACAATGGTTAAACCAGTTTCATCCACGTTATAAACTTGGCTTGCCGAATAATTATGCGTCTCCATTAGGGTCTCTAACAGGTCGAAAAATGTGTCTACATTTTCTTTATTAAATCCTAAGGCGCGAGCGTACGAAGTTCCAGTAGGTCTTCTCAAACTTAAAACATTTTTATGCCTCATTCTGAAGTGATGAAGCCAATCCTTGCCAGCTGATTTTCTTAGTAATGAAAATGGATGAGGAATATTGTTTTTTCTTGCTAATTGAAAAGCAACATTACAAACATCGCGACGCGTCAAGCCAAAGAACGATTTCTCCATCTCTAGACAGTGCTTAACTAATTCTTTTTCCAAAAAATCAGGTAAAACGGGCTTACGGCCTAATTTGGTACGGCACACAACTTCAGGTTCCATGTTCTTTTTGCACAGCCTGAAAAGTGTAGCTCGAGGAACATTGTATGTTTTACAAGCCTTCAAATAACCCATTTGTTTGGACCTGACTGCTATCACTGCTTTCCTCATATTTTCTTCATTCCACTTTTTGCGTTTTTTATCTACGACCCTAGTTTTAGGCATTGTTGATAACCTGGTGCTCGAATAAGACTTCTTAAACAAAAGAAATTAATTTTTAGATGGCACTTTTATGGGGAAACTTTTGCGGGTAATATGGAATAGTATTCCATATTAGCCGCTCTTAGTTATGTTGAGGTTATAATTTTTTTAAGATGTCTAGACGAGTATAGACCCGCAATAACTACATCTTATATTAATCTACAGTCCTTACTTGCTCTCTGATGAGAATATGAATAAAAAATCACCAACTAAATGATAATAAACTAAATTTTCACGAAACTCAACAAAAATTCTGCATGACTGAAAAACAGGTGTTGACGAATAACTATTTAACGAACGATTACAGAGTTACGCGCGTGTTTGGGTATAAATCCGTACTTAAGATAAGCATATTTTTGCTACCGCCTTGTAGATGGCAGCATAAGTTTAGCCAATTATATGGTATTCCATATTAGCCGATGTATTTCATATTACCCGCCGCTACTCTACTTAATTATGAAAGATCAATATTTGAAAACTACTACTATTTTTATCAGAAGTATAATTTTAGACGGGTTGCAGAAATACTTTTATTAACTAAAATAAATACATATATGTATACATAAACAAAAAACAATCAATCTTGTAAAATAATCTACTCTCGGTTGGTTTCAATAATTGGAAACTTCAGAATATGTGAACCAAGCAATAGGCAATTAAAACATCTCCACAAGCAGACGTACAAATGCGAATTGTATCCTGCTATGAGGTCCTCAAATAGTCGTGGTATCTTAACACAGCCCTTTCCTGATCACGTGTCTCTATTGAGCCCGGCCTTTGCAGTCTTAGTCGAACGATGGCATTTTCTGGGTGCACGTCCATAAATCTGACCAAGTAGCAGGCCGCCATAACACCGGTGCGACCTCTGCCCATCCTGCAGTGAATTCCCACCGCCTTTAATCGATAATTAACTGCTTAAGACAAAGTTTAACGAGGTATGTGTTTAATGGAGTGACAAAATGATTAACAATGGGATAAAGACGATATTTTTTTTTTATTTCAAGTTATGCATGCAGCATCCGACTTAGTTCATTAATCTCAAGGCTCGTATAAGTCATATGGGTGATTCCACAAAACTTTTGACCTCATTTTGTTTATATAGTTTTCGGAGAAAATTAAACAGTATTTTGTTATGAGAACATAGATAATATAATAAATATACTGTTCCAGACCGGGCCAGTCACTTTTTCAAACAGTTTCTGAAATATCTGTGCTTTCTAAATTTAAATGCAAGGGAAGTGACGAGTATACAAGGGTACTAATTAATTACATAATTTATTGGAAAATATTAGATTTATTGCAACTTTGAGCATATTATACATTAAATATCTTAAAATCAAATAATACCACACATCAGTGGCGGCTGGTGGATTTTGGGTATACCGATATCTCAATTATTAGATATGGGACCCACACCAAATTTATATGAGTTTATAGACATTAAATAAACAAGTTTGCGAAAAAAAGATAACCGAAACATCGAACTTGGAACTGACGACAAAGTACTTATTAATGGGATACAATATAATTCGGAATTAAGTATTTAACTGATATTTTTTATTAGTGGATGCTAACAACAAATTACATATAGCCTTATATAAATTACAATGAAATATATATACGTAAGAAAATAACTACTCACCACAGTACTGAAATTTTGACTGGAACTATACGTGCATTCACCACAACTTCGCCGCTTGGATTGTTTTCAAGATGACTGTCGTGCAAAGGGCGGGCTCTGTAGGTAATTTTTTACCAACACTTGAGTTAAAACGAGGACTTGACGTTTAAACTTCAATATTTCGCAGGAATTTTGAATTTTAACATTGGACACAGAACTGACGGGTAAAAGCGAGTACAAAGATTATCAATTTTTAAAAATTGCTATTATTCGAATCTATGATAAAATATGAAAAATACATTATTTAATGTTTTATAGTTTGTAGTGAAATTGAAAAATTTAAGATAAATTGAATATATTTCAAAATAAAATCACTCAAATATTTGATTCAGGAGTTGTGACACGCCAAGGTACTGATGTTTTGAATATTTATTATGTTTTTCTACAAACTTGCTTTTGAAAATTACATTAAAATTGGGTGGACAAGTTAAAAAAAAATCTTTTGTAACATACTAAAATATTTACAAAAAATATTAAAATACCAATATTTGATTGTTTTGACCTTTACTTGATGAAACTCCATATTATTATTATTATTATGTAGATATAAAAACAAATATGTTTTGAAAGTTTCACGTGTTTTATATACTTTTGACAATTGTTTCGTCACACAGTGACTTCTTCAGAATGATTCTGAAGAAGTCACTGTGTGACGAAACAATTGTCAAAAGTAAATAAAACACGTGAAACTTTCAAAACATATTTGTTTTTATATCTCCATAATAATATTAAAATACCTACTCTATTGACTGATGACATCAAGTTGTCCAACTTTTGTAGAATCACCCATATATAACTTTGGTATCCTGCTTACAACTCTAATTTACTTCAAGTTCCTGCGTTATTAGCGATTAAAATAACGTCTTCATAAATTGCACACGACTTAAAGCGCGGTTGCAATATTTCTTGGATATTAATGGGTTTCTCGGATCTAAGCAATTTTTCCCTAGCTGCTCGACACAGCGCTCGTGTACAATATAAAATAATTTTAGGGTCTACGGAGCAATAATACTTCTTATAAAAAACATTTTATATAAAGTTTTCAAAATATTCACTAAAGGCCGATTTTAGCGATATACTTGTTTGTAACGCGCAAAATAACAATAGCGATACCATTTTCACAGTTATAAGGGTCGTTTTCAAAATTCTTGTACATTTAAAGAAGAAAAAGTAAAAACAAAAACATAATCTACAAACCTGTTTTTTTTTTAAATTTTGTTTATATAGGTGTGTATTTAATATCTAAAAGTTGGCAGTTGGATTTTTTTAAACAAGCCCTTAAAAAAGAAAAAAGAAAGGAAATGGTCCCCTGGGTCACAAATTTACTAACAAATACAAAAAAACTAATCATTTTGAAAATATTTTTTTTGCTTGTCAATAATCTTTTTAAACTTTTATTTACACTATGGTTTGTTTAAAAAAAAAATTTTATTATTTATAAAAAAAAAATTAGTACAAAACTATTAAAAGCAAAAACTATGTTCTATTTCTAAACTTTCTTATATATACCTAAGTATTTTTAATATATTTTCCGTATTTAAAAAATGTCCATTAAAAAAGTGAGTATAAGAAATTTTCTTTTAATGCGTATTTATCTCGATTTTTTATATTTAGCTTGTCCAATTTAACGAGTAATAAATTAATAAAAGGTTTTAGTTATTGGTAATATTAAAAAAATAATAATAAAAAGTCAAAATAAACATTGTTTCGTTAAACTACCAAAAAATTTTTCCAGCTTTTTTGGGGCAAAATACATTGACCAGGAAAATTACTCTTAAAAAGGTGGGGACATTAAATTGGCTACGTACGAAAAAAAATGTTTTTAAAACTTTCCTATAAGTTTGTTATTATTTCAAAAATATATTATAATTTATGTCTTTGGAATTGTCCCCTGGGTCACATACACTGTTCAAAATTTCATGACCATTTTAACACCAAATTAACACCATACATGGTCTATATCGATACAAACCAAAATGGTGTTAAATATGGTTCGTTGGCCGGTGTAAATTCAAATACTAAAATGGTGTTAATTTAACTTTCACACAGTATTAAAATAAATTTTACCTGGTGTAAATTGAACTCCTTTTCAGTGTTAAATATTATGTGTTTGTGGTCAAATTAAATCATACTACACAGAAAAAAGGAAAAAAAAAAGAAAACAGGAAGTTCCTTGACGCATTACTAGTATATTACCAGTGGTATTCCAGAAAATGAAACCTTCAACTCGCTAGAGATGTTTTTAGTGCGTTCCACTAACTTAAAATACTTCAAGTATTGACAGCTGTTTCCACCTATTTAAGGTCTTTTTGGTTTCGAACAACTTGTAGTGTCACACCAAAGCAAAGGACTACCTGAGTTTATATATTCTTCATGTAAGTCAACAGAGGCGAGATTTAAGAACATCACGTGATCCACACCGCCTTTGCCGCGATCGGTACACATTTTCAACCATAATTCATGGTGTTATATTAACACCACTTGGTGTTGGATTTTGACACCATTTTAAGATTACTTTTTACACCACAGATATTTTAAACAGTGTAACTTTGGGCTTTTCTGTAATTTTTGGAATATATTCTCAACTATTAAAAAAAAAGGAGGATGCAATTTTACTCTAAGATGTTTAAAAAGCATTAAGTAGTGAATATTATTGCAAGTGGGACAGCTACTTTTCTGTACTGTTGGGGAAAGTTTAATTTTTTTTATATTTATAAAAAAATTAAACTTTCCCCAACAGTTAACTCTAAAGTTAAATTTAAAATTTTACAATTTTTTATAAAACTTTAAAGTTGAGGACAGCAAATGTACAAAAAATTTGAAAATAACCCATAAACTACATGGGTTACAGAGTTCTTTTATATGTAATGTTACTTTAAAAAATGGCGAATGCGTCGGGATTAATTTTAAGTTTTAATTTTAAGGGTTCGTATAACGAAATGTTACAAGAATTAAAAGTGAACATTACAAGAAAATTAAGCCAGCTATGCCTTAAAAACGTATGTTGGCAATATTTTTTTTTCATCAAAAGCAAACACATTTTTGTAGATAGTTTATCAGGTTAATAAAGCCATGGCATAACAGGATTGTTTTATTTATAACCCGCCCATGACGCCGCCGTCGTAAATTTTAGTATGAATTTTAACAAAAATAGGGAAACAAAAATGCATAAAACATTTTGTCAGTGTGCTATTTAAATCGACCCAACAAGGGACCAGCGGTTGAATATAAAATTCTCAAAATTTTCTCGAGATTAGTTTGTTAAAGATTTATGATTTTAAGGTTGGTATTCATGTCCCGCACACATTTAATAATTTTAAAGTTTCCGTCTTATTTTACTTACTTCGCTGTTGGAACGGAATTTCTCGCAAATATTAATGAAATTAATAATTTGTTCTATCCTAGGGGCCTCGAATTCTTCTATTGGAATTATGGTCCACCCTACGTTTGGACATAACTCCATGGGAGGCCTCATTTCTGGGGATAAAGTTATTAGATGTTTTATCCCTAAAAATCCCTAAATATAAAACATATGACAACACAGCTTTAACATATATTAAATAAATACACTCACGTGCAAAATAATCGATCCACACAAATTTTCGATAAATTTCAATCGCAAATAACTTTTTTATTTGATGTCGGATTTAAACGAATAATAAAGAATATTGTAGATAAATTAATATACAATCGCTCACATTTAAAAAAAATACTAAAAAATAGACGTACGTTTATAATATACAGGTTTAAACAAAAAGATTTTTTTTACCATAAGTTTAAGACACTCTGTAGAGTGGCAAAACCGTATATTGTTCTAAATTAAGTTTCAATATTTTTCTGTATGAAGAACTAAGGTTGCTATGGTCCATCCATAGCCTATGGAGAATGACAGTGACAGTTTTGTTGAATCATCCCATACTTGGACATGTCATATACAGCTTTCAAGAGCTATCAAATTGTTTTTTGTAAATTAATGTGTTTATTTTGAGGTGTCTTCTTACTTTTAAAAATGTCTCCGACTGATGTTGCCCTTTGTACTTTACTTCTTATGACGTTTAAAACACTTGCCACGTAATACTGTGACCGTCCATCCTAGATTAAATTAATGGCTCTGGCAACATCAGTCGGAGACATATCCATTTTATAAAGTAAGAAGAGACCTCAAAATTTAAACATTAATTTGCAAAAAACAATTTGATATCTTTTGAAAGCCGTGTATGACATGTCCAAGTATGGGATGATTCAACAAAACTGTTACTGTCATTCTCCATAGCCTATGGATGGACCATAGCAACCCTAGTTCTTCATACAGAAAAATATTGGAAATTGCAATGTTTTTTAAAAAAATCCATATTTTCCACAAAAATAAATATATCGAGGTGAACCAAAAACAAAACTGTTAAGAATGGATGTGACTTGATAAATAAAACTTAATTTAGAACAATATACGGTTTTGCCACTCTACAGAGTGGTAAAAACATCTTTTTGTTTAAACCTGTATATTATAAACGTACGTCTATTTTTTAGTATTTTTTTAAAAGGTGAGCGATTGTCCATTAATTTATCTACAATATTCTTTAATATTGGTTCAAATCCGACATCAAATAAAAAAGTTATTTGCGATTGAAATTCATCAAAAATTTGTGTGGATCGATTATTTTGCACGTGAGTGTATATAAAACTATACAAACCTTTCGCTGCCAAAACATTACACACATAATTCTAAATTAAGGTTACGACATACCAATCAAATGAAGATATTCAAGATTTTCCAATGTTTGAGGACAGGACATTGCTGCCAAATTATCTTCCACCACCCATGAAAAGTTCCATGGTTTGTTTAAATAGCTCGTCTCATATTTTGTTGTCATTGTTTTGTTGGAACTAAAGCTAATGCATTTACAAGGTTGCCATATCGTTAAAAATCCAATTCCAAATCATCAACTATTTTTTATGCCTATTTTTTTTTAAGTAATAGGGTAAAGTAGACAGTTATCGGACACTTTATAGATATTGGACACAACATTAATACTGTAAAAACAGATTTTTGTTTTTTTGTTAAGAGCAGGGCTGTGTTTAAATTACAATAAAAAATATTTCTTAAAAGTGTACAGATCTGTGTGTGGTATAAATGTGTTCCTCATGGTTTAAACATTGTCAGTTTAATGCGCTTTAATTTTAATTCTGAAAACAAACAGTAAAATTGCCAGTGTCCAATTACTCGTTGGTAAAAAATGTAAATTTCTATTATTGGACATATGTCCAATATCATACTCTATTTGTATCCCGGACATTTACCAGCCAATTCTTATGTAAAATTGTCCCCTGAATCCGAAAATACCGTCAAAAATTATAAAAGGTAAGCAGTTTTTGAGATATAGTCAATTCCATATTATATGTAAAATTGATTATATTTCAAAAACTGGTCTACTTTTATAACTTTTGACGACATTTTCGTATTCAGCGAATAATATTTCATAGGAATTGACTGCTAAATGTCCTGGATACAAATTGCTGTTGACGAGAATTATTAGTGGCTACTTTTTTGCTATGACATTTTTGACTAATTCATTTTTAGAGAGTAAGTAATATAGTGATTTCTTCGTCACAGAACATCTTGCAGAATAACAGTGATTTAAATACAGTGCATGATGGAGAACATAAAAAACTACTAACATCTTGTTCTGGCATAAACATTATAAATGCTTCACAAACTAGAGATACCACAGTGATATTTGCAACAAACTATTTCAGAAGTCAGACCAAGTAATTAGAATTACCTTCAGAATCCGAGAAATAAATATATGAATTATATGATATTTACAAAAATGAAATAAAAAAAATTACCTAAAACAGCAATTTATCTTTTAAAAATATTTAACAATTGTTAAATTAATTTATTTTATTTGATGTAAATTTGTTATGTTTATATAAAAATTGTATGTCCAATAACTATGGTCCATGTTTCCAATTACTATATAAAATGTCCAATTACTATACTTTTTTGCATGTTTTTATAAAACTATTATTAAAAATTCAAATATTCTTACTTTTAAGTAAACGTAAATAAAGTTTAAACAAACAAACTATTCTTTTTATTTATTTATAAAAAAACAAAAATCTTTAAAACAACGGCATATATAAATTTTACACCCTGTATATTAATAAAGTGGTGCACAAAATTATAAAGAATCGTGTTTGATAAAATAAACCACTAATTTACTTTATTAATATTAAAGCAAGCAAAACCCACAGTATTTAATTGTTTTTGTCATATAGAGTGCAGGGAAATTAATTTTACGCAAATAATCCACTTTAAAACTAAACGTTAATTGAAGTTTAATTGCGCTAAGCGAGTCGGTTATGTATGCAAGATGATTTTGGATTTTAGTGGATTACGAGACATCACAGTCACACTTTAACAATCGAAAGGAGTTTAAGTGTTCACTGCATACATTAGTTTAATTTGGTAAACGTGGAAAACTTAGTCTTGGCGGTTAATTTACAATAGTATATTATGTATCAAGTGTGATAAACGCTATTTTATACACGAATTTAATTTAAATTAATGAGTGTATAGAAAAGTTTATAAACGAGGTGCATACTATACTTTTTCTACGACAAATACTTATTATTATCTTAAAATGATTTAAATCAAAAATTTGTATAGAGCGCCATCTATGAAACAATAGGGGAATCTGTGTGTCACCGTCAAATGTCAAATTTTATAAAGGTTATAAATCGAAATGTATTTCTTGAAAATTGACAGTTTTTCACAGTGACAGTAAAGAAAATGTTTTATAAGCACTTTACAGTGGAGTCCGTGTCCGAATTTAAGTTATAGTTTACTGCCGGCGAAATTAAAAGGTCAGTAAAATGTTCATATAAACTTTTCAAATATTGGCGTTAAGAAACTATTTAATACTTTTGTATTGAGATAATAAAATAATTTTCACATTTAATTTTTTTTTACAGAAAGGCACTTTATTTTAACGATTGTAAGACATTTGACAACTGTCAACTAACTTAAAACTAACTTCAGCCCGTGACTAAAAACCTGTTGCTAACTTCGGCCCGTGACTAAAGCGCCCTAAAGCCACAACTTGTCAATGTGTATTTAAAAGGTCACTTAGTGTCATGAAAACATGTACGATAAAGGGCGTTTTAAAGGTGGGAGTGGAAAAAATATATTTTAGGATTGATTATGAAATATTTTTTTACTGTGTACTTTTGTATTTTCGTATTGAAATAATAAAATAATTTTCACATTTAGTATTATTTTACAAGAAGGCACTTTATTTTAACGATTGTATGTATGTATGTATATCAAATTTTTAAAACATTAAAATTGAAACATTTTTAATGAATTTATTGTGAGCTTAAAACTCAATTAATTCTGTATAGAGACATCGAAAGCCGAGGATATCCGAAACTCTAGCAAAATAATTGGATTAAAAACAATCTGATTTTATTGTGTGCGAATAAATCTACAATTTTACAACGCGAGCATAATCTCGCACTCAATTAAGCCGTGCAAATATACATTTTTTATGTGTGTTTTAACTCCATATTCGTTTTGAAAAAGGGGAATTATGGCAGAATTTATTACGCTTTAAAATGTTCAAAATAAATCAGCCGGGTTACTTGTTGATTTAAATACAACAAAATAATTAGTACTCGATTTCGATTGATTATTCTTTATATCATTGATTAAGAAACTCAACGCTTAAATGCTTATATAGTTAAGTTAGTGTGTGTATTTTATCTAAGGGATCATGGTGAATTATTGTGTTTTTAATTGCAAATAAAATTCAAGAACTAAATCGTTGCATTTTCATGTTTTGCCAAAGGATCCAATTCGGTAAGTACATTTGTTGGTGCAGAATTAACTAATGATAAATTTACCTAATATAATTTATATTTAAGTTTAGACATTTTTAAGAAATTAGTAAAAAATAATTTTTGCACAAACATAACCTTAAAATCAACCATTTTTATGTTTGAGTTCTCTAAAAAACGCCGACAACTGCATTTTAAACAACAAAATTTACCTACGAATTCATGGCAACATAATATTATATATAATACATAATATAATGGTATTTTACCGTTGAGTGGAGACTTTCTTAATCAACCCTTTTAATAATGCTAAATGCTGTTTAAATTTAGACGACTTATTTGTTTGACGATTTTTACTGAATTGAAATGTTTACACTTTTCACGTTAATCACTACTAAAATGTGTATTTATTGTATCTAATAGGTACAATTTATATTTACAGAGACTGTATGCAATTTATTTCTTCATTCAGATTAACACTGTTTATTGGAAAACCGGTAAAAACTCAACCCAGGATTTCCTCTCGAAATACACCCAACAACACAACAAATCGTGCCACGATTTTTTTTTTCGATTTTTTTTAACGTATTCCAGCTTTATTCTCAAAAACACACGCGTTTGACAGCTGCTCTTATTATCGTATGTCCTAAGCAGTGGCGGCTCGTGCCACTAAACCATTATAATAAAAAAACAGAAATATTTATCTAAAGAAAACTTACCCAGTTTTTTAGAACTTACCTTAATTGAAACCCAATACGACTTGTTGCCTAATAAAAACTGGATAAATAATGAAACAAAACTATTAATTGGCAAGTATATATTTTCAACATATACAATGTAAAAATGTATAGGTAATCTACATAAAATATACATTACACATACTTCAGTAACTAATAAATAATACAGTATACTAGAACAAAGAAAATAGTCCTGAGTATCGCGGTACATAATTAATAATTTAATGCTAAATTGTTCGTAGGTATAAAAAATAAATTAATAGTCATCTTCGTAATATCCGTATTCTTCTTCGTCCCCACCTTCATCTTCCCTATGTTTTTGCAACATTTGGAAAACCCCCATTTCGTTGGCCGATTCATCTGGTACGTGTTCTTCGAAATCTTCATCTAATTCTTCCTCAGATACTAGATATAAAACATATTTTATTGGTTGGGCGTAAAACATTAAATAAGATCTGCCGCCAATAATTTAATGCCAACTATCAAAATTGGCGCGAAATCCGTCAAAAATTATGCAGAAAATGTTTTGCTGGCGTATTTATTACAACTCACAGCAAAAAACCTTTGTAGAAAACATGCATCTTTGCTTTTAAGAGATTTTATTGAACGAAGACTTTTTTAAAATATAAAAATGCAAAATAACAACGTCGAGGATCTTTAATTTTAAAGGTGAGATTAATAACAGTACAAGTCCACAATTTTGACAAACTATTTAAAAAAATCAGTTTTATAGTTCTAAATACATTTTTGTGACAATATTTTAATTATTTTATAAAATATAATATTCATTAGTTCTTTGGTAAAAAAAATATTTGATTTTTTTTAATCTCTCTAATATTTATATTCTGTCAAGTAAGTCTTTAAAATTGATTTTTAAAAATGACTCGAAATGACTTGTCAAAATTAAATTTTTGGAGTAAATAAATTTGGCTAAAATGGGGATTTTATTAAAATCACTTTTACCACAAAATTTGGTTTTTTCCCTCCCATGAAAAATTTCTATAGATTTTGAAAATAGACTAATAGACTAGATCAAGTCATTTTTTTAAGTGGAATCCAATATAATGTTATCCACGGTATTCGGCACATATATAACAGATTCGATAACAGCTAGACTATATTTTTATAAAAAAATTATTCACTGAATAAATGGACAACCATTAAGACTATTTATTTATTTTAAAATTTTTATATACAGTAGACTGGGCCAAAAAAATCGAATATTTTTTTTTGGATAGTATATCGAAAATATTGTTTGGGGTGACAAAAAAAATTATGGTGAAAGTTTGAGTCCATAATATTAATATTAAGAGGTCCATCATCGCAATTTTAGATTTTTTTTCCTAAGCGAGTTTTTGTCTCAGAACTCCCAAATCATTGAGTTTAACAAAATTGACTTAAGAATATTTTTTGAAGAAAATTGAATGCTCTACAAAAAAGGTTTTTTAATTGGAATTTTCCGTCAGATGAACCCTTTTCTTACAATCATGCCTTATAAATTGGTATAGTTTTACAATTTGATCTTTTAACTTTGGAATTTTGTAATTCAAGTAAAAATCAGAACCCTGAAAAAAAACGATAAATATTCTTATGGGAAATCAAATGCTCTACAAAAAAAGTCTTTTATCATTTTTGGCTAAATTCACCCCATCAAAAGTTATTCAAGGTTAAATTTGAAGTCAAAACGAAATTTTAACCTTGAATAACTTTTGATTGAGTGAATTTAGCCAAAAATGTTAGGAGGCTTTTTTTGTAAAGCATTTGATTTCCCATAAGAATATTTATCGATTTTTTATGGGTACTGATTTTTACATGAATTACAAAATTCCAATTTAAAAGATCAAAATGTAAAACTATACCAATTTTTAAGGCATGATTTTAAGGAAACGGTTCATCTGACGAAAAATTTCACTTTAACCTTTTTTGCAGAGCATTTAATTTTCTTAAAAAAATATTTTCAAGTCAATTTTGTTAAACTCCATGGTTTGGGAGTTCTGAGCCTAAAACTTGCTGAGGAAAAAAAAAATTAAAATTGCGATGATAGACCTCGTAATAATAATATTATGGACTCAAACTTTCACAACAATTTTTTTTTGTCACCCCAAACCATATTTTCGATATACTTAAAAAAAATAGTTGATTTTTTTGGCCCAGTCTAATATACAGGGTATTGCACATTTACGAAATACGGGTATTTCACTTTCGTGGTCCATTGAGAGTTTCTGAGGAACGGCAAAAGATATCGATTTGAAATTTTTCAAGCGTTAATAATCCAATTAAGCCTATTTTTCTAAAATATTTTAAACAAAATGCCACTTCCGGCTTGACCGGAAGTGGCATCAACTTTGTTATTTTAAATTGTACACCCCCTATATTTTTACATTTTAAAATTCTACATAAAATTTTGAGTAAAATTACTGTACCATGTCCTATACCTAGAGTAAATAGTTTTGGAGTTATTAATTTTTTCCGTTAAAATATGACAAATGCGCGTCAATCAAAAATAGCCTATAACTTTCTTGCTATTAGATTTGCAGAAATGGGGGTGGAATTTTTGGAATCTTAAAACATTGTTTAAAAGATTCCATGTCAATTTCTTAACATACCGGGTGTTACATTTAAAATAAAAAAGTTTTTAACGTTTCAAGTTAGCCCAATTTCTCGGGTAATTTGTTGAAAAATGTTGAATTGACATGGAATTTTTTAAACAATGTTTTAAGATTCCAAACATTTTACCCCCATATCCGTAAACTTATTGCAAACATCTAGAAAACTATTCACTTTACGTCTAGGACATCGAATAGTAAGTTTACTCAGAGTTTTATGTAGAATTTAAAAATGTAATGTAATGTAAAATGTAAAATGTTCTATTTGAAATAACAAAGTTGATGTCACTTTCGGTCAAACAGGAAGTTGCATTTTGTTTAAAATATTAAAAAAAATAAACTTAATGGATTATAAACGCTTTTAAATTTCAAATCTATATTTTTTCCGTTCTCTAGAAACTTCCAATGGACCACGAATGTGAAACACCCTGTATATCAAATGGTATTTTTAGGTTGTGATAACACTATAGATTCGAAAGCAATTTATAATCGTCAAACTAAAAGATCAAGATTTGTTTCCAACATATATTTAATATAAGATAAATACAAATCTGTTGTTTTATTAAAAAAAAAATAAAAAATTAAAGCCAGAAATATTTTTTTTACTTAAAAAAAATAAAATTGTTAATTTCTTTAATTATAATTTTCGTATTATGTAAAAACATAAATTATTTGAAGAAAAAAAAAGATTTATAACAAAATAGAGAATTAAAAATCTGTTTAGGTTAAAATAATAAGAATGAGTGTGTAAAAAAATTAAATGACGTGATTTCGTACGTTTTTTTAACCTTTATTTTTAAAATCTGTTAAAATTTTTCATGGGAGGAAAATCATGTTGTACTGTGTTATCTTTGAGCAGCAGTAAAAGTACTTTTGGCGTTTGAAAAAAAAATAGCAAGATTCAAATTTGGTTGTACTTACGTGTAGCAGCAGTAGGTGTTTTCAGTATCTCCGGTTCTTTTTTCGTTTCAACGAATGGCAACCCAACGTTTGGTTGAGGTTTTGTCGATTTTTTCTTTTTATCCGACGTACTTTGCTCCACCAAACTGCTAACAGACGATAGTCGTCGCCTTAAAGAAAAAAAAATAAATCACAGGAACGTCATAAAAAGTATCAAAAACCCGTAAATTTTACTTATCAAACAAACACATTTTTAAATGATTACAAAGGTGTGAAATCGAATTATGGCCCGTGAAAAATTTCGCATCATATTTTAAACTTTGTTACAAGTATTAAAAAAGAAACACAATAAAAACATGTGACCTGGAACACAAACATAAAAAAACGTTTAGGGGAAAATCCGTTTAAATATAAATTCCTTTCTTTAGTCTTGTTTTCTTTTTTTAAGTTTAAAATATCCACAAAGGAAAGGAAACATATTATACGTTAAAGAAGCATACAAACTGTTCCTCTTTTTTTAATAAATAAGAAGTTTTAATTGTCCAAGGTTATTTGTGCTTATACAGGGTAATGTAATATATTAAAATACTTTCCCGAAGATAAAGAAAATATATACATAGAAGTTATGTACACACTTGTGTGTAATTGTTACTAAATCCAACAAAAATAATAGTTGTACAAACATAAACTTAAAATCAATCATTTTTAAATTTGAGTCCTCTAAAAAAACTCCAACAACTGCTTTTTAAAATAGTATATTATAAAATATAATATAATATATATTACCTGTTTTTGTTTTTTTACCGTTGAATGCATAACGCTGTTTAAATTTAGACGCCTTATTTGTTTTATGACTTTTACTGAAATGTGTATCTCATAGATACAATTTATATTTACAGGGACTGTTCATTTTTGGGTAAAAATAAATTTTTCTTTGCATTTCTGATATCTTTAAAAAAAATTCTTTTAGCACCGGTTGAGGTTAGCCACCACGATTTTTTTTATTACGTTTTTAACATACAAATAAATATCAATGACAAATGAAGTAGGTAGCAGGAATTATAAATTATATATTAGACAAAGAAAAACATTTTTACATTATTTTTTTTTCCCGCAATTAAATTAGATTAATGTTTCCTAGTCCGGATAGTAATTTATCATACAGACTCTTTTGTATTCTTTCCTTGTTAACGCAGTTTATAATGTATTATATTATCGTTATCGAAAAAATCTGGAAATAGGTCGACTTAATCAAAAATCTTCGCGATGAATATTAAACTTTAACCTGCTTGTAATATTATTATTTATACATTATGGGTCATTTTCCAGAAACACCCGCTTTCAGGAAAATGAAGATAAAAATATTTGTTTTGCTTAAATTGACTTTTGGTTGGATTTTTATAAATGTTTAGAGTTTTGTTTACTTACATTTAAGACAGGCAGTGCACTTTTTAATTTTTTTTACGTTTTTTACAGAAAAATGTGTTTAGCTAGCTTTATATATCTCCACTGTGTTACCAATTTGAAATCAATAAAAAAGTTGTTATAAAAATAATTTGAAATAAAATACATGTACTTAGTTCACAAACTTTTGACTCCAATTTTTTATTTTATTTTTTATTAAAAATTGTATGCTTTTTTTTTAAATATGTATGTTCGTTAAATTACTTTTTAAAAGAAACCATTCCGATTCTTTGTTAAAAAAACAATACCATTAATATTTTCCTTTAGTCACTATATTAGTGAATTAAACCCTAATTTATAAACACGTATTACCAAGTTATAGTGTATAAAAATCATTTTAAGTATTTTTTTAACAAAAACTAAAAAAAGTAACGAAATAGACATTGGTATCACAACGGACAGGGGTACACAAAGGACTTAATCAGATCACGTAAAAAAGAAACTATATAGGGTGGTACGATTTTGGAGTAATGCATAAACAAAATCCCTTGTAGTGGTGCTCACTTGCAGATTAACAACTTAGATTTGGTGAAGGTCCCTTTTAGTACTTTTATATTGCGTGGAATTTTTCCTTAGATATAATCTATATCATGAGTTGTAATTACAAATAATTTTAAATTGGTTAATCATAAACTACTTTTAATAAAAGCGACGGTAAATATCCACTTTGTTGTCGAAAAATTCTATTGCGTTACCCTAAATTCTATTGCGTTACCATAAGTTAACATAGTGGACTCGGTAACGCAGTGGACAAAGTTTTGTAAAACCATATTTAAAAAATAATAATAGACATTATAGTCATTAATTACTCTCAATGAACTTTTGTGCCCTAAAATAAACATAAACATGAAAAATAGTATTTTTTCTTACCTTATTTTATTATTTTTTTGAATAACTTAGCGGACAAACAATTATTACATTCGCGTTACCCGCACCTGTTTCAACCGATATCTTCTTCCTGATTGAATAAATAAATTCAGCTGGGTAATGTATACGTCCGAACATCATTTGTTGATCACGTGAGTACCAAAAAAGTTGCCATATATATGTTTTTTTTAATATTCTATCGGTAACGCGACGGACGTAACGCAACGGAAAAAATGTCTGGGACATGAGTCAAATTTAAAAAAAGTAGATTAAAATTAATTATTTTATATATAAATTGTTTACTGTGTTAACTAAGGATGTTATGGATTGCTATAAAGCAACACAAAGTTCTGGTTATTCAATATTTAAAAAAAACAAGTATGTAAGTTTTATAAAACGCTATTTAAATGGGACATGCGAAAATGTGTGTTTCACAAGTTTCAAAATTAAAAAAAAATTATTCTGAAATAACTAAACAAAAATTTTCTAAAAGAGTTTACTAAGGGCTTGTTAGGCTTTCACTTGGTTTTTAAATCAATAAGATCCGATAATTTTTAACAAAGTTATTGGAATTCAAACTTACGGACAGCGGAAGGCGGGTGTTTTTTTAAAACGAACCTTATACATTATATTTACTAATTCTAAGTATAATAAGCAACAACTGTTAATTAGATCGTATTCTGCAGATATGAAATTTAACATTTACCATTGGGATTCACGTTAAGATTAACAAATAACAAATCAGTTGAGTCCACTTAGGAGACATACCAATTAATCTAGAGCAGCATCGATTAAATGCCAACGTAACCTATGTATCTGCAATATAAATCATTTCAAGGGTTCAACTATTTGATTTATCAATGAAACGGGTCCATACAGTCATCGAGTATTAAAGCAAATTTATTATGAAACATGGTTTATAAATTCTAAAACAATATCAAAAGAGAATTTGGTAAAAGAAAGGGTAAAGTTCATTTTATCTGGACTGCAATGGAATTAATTTGACTTTGGTGGTGCGTAGATGAGTAAAATCTTATAAAAAGTAGTTAAATATAGGTGATTACGGCCCAGGAGAGACAAAGTATTACTAGCGCATAATAATCTTCGCTTTGAAAAAAATTTACATAAAAGAAATTAAAATTTTATGTGAACACACGTGAATGTTGTCCAATCATTGGACTCCAATGGTGAATGGGTATTTTGTTAAAGCCACTGGACGTTAATACTTGTAGTGGCTTAATAATAATTACAATGTACTATGCTCCACATCTCAAAGTCCCACCACGTGACCACGTACGGAACGCAGTCTTTTGAAAATTTCGCATTTAAGGCTTTTCAGGTTATGTATCTGTCAAAGTACAGTCAATGAAAGAAATAATATTTATAGAGTTACCGCTTATATTTAAGCGTTAAAAGTTAATAAATCTTTATAGTATCACAATAACAATGGTTGGTTTAAGAATTTAGGAATAAAAATACTGCATTTAATGAAATTCCAAAGTGTAAGGTGCAATATAAGTGATATTTTTGTGCATTGGGTCTACATTTTTCCATAAAATAGTTTTAACTAAACAGCATTTATTAAAAAAAACCTAACTTCTCTATTATGAAATAAGAATATCTGTATCAAAGGTAGGTTAATGTATAAGAACAAAAAATATCATCTAATTTTGTATTTTAAGGTTAGAAAAATCTATTTTGACCAAAATAAATAAGTGGATTATTTGAAAGAGTGTGTTAATATGGTCATAAATAAATATAGGTATACTAAATAATTGTTGAATATAGTTTAAATTAAATTAAAGCTTTTATAATTCTAACGAAAAAATTTGTGCAAACCTCTCGGCATACTTACTTAAGTTAGATTATAAAAAAACAAACAATTTTTAGAGAAACTTGCAATGTGATAATATTTAATACTCCCATGACATGTGATTTATTAAAATTTTTAAAGTTATAATGATTTTTTTATGTAGATCAAATTCAGTCGAAGCTTTTTAACTATTTGTATTGACAAAACTTTATGTAGGTACACTTTAAGCTGGATAAGAAAAACTACCACATTTTTAAACACCATATTATACAGTCTTTTAAATAATCCAAAATACTTATTTTGGTCAAAATAAATTTTTTTAACCTTAAAATTACAAAATTAGATGATATTTTTGTTATAATATATTAACCTACCTTTAATACAGATATTCTTATTCTATAATAGAGAAGCTAGATTTTTTTAAATAAATACTGTTTAGTTAAAATTATTTTATGGAGAAAACCAGATATTTGGACCAAATGCACAAAAATATTACTTATTTGGCATATACACTTTAGAATTTCATTAAATGCAGTATTTATATTCTTAAATTCTTAAACCATTCATTGTTATTGTTATGTTATAAAGATTTATACATTTTTAACGCCTAAACATAATATTATTTCTTTCGTTGACTATACTTTGACAGATACATAACCTAAAAAGCCTTAAATGCCAAATAGAGTAATTGCATCAAAAATGAAAATCCCTAAAAACCTTTTTAATCTAATCTAGAGGTAAAAACACATTGCAAATATATTTTTTTATATTCCAAAAGTTCAACCCGGCCCCAAAATATCAAATTGAAAAAAAGGTACTTTTCAAACGTTCCGAACTCCCGCCATATTGCATGACGTCATAAGCTTCACCAGCTGTCAGAAATCAAGATGTCAACAAATAATAAACACCGATAAAGTTTATGTTTAACATGGAAAACGCGAAACCAAAAATTGGTTGTAAATATTGTTTTGTGCCTTGTTGTACAAATACAACCTGGAAAACTCCTGGGAAAGTTGTCCCTTCAATTATCAAAAGCAAAGTTTATGACCCTACACTGAGAGTAGTTACGGCTCAGCCGTATTTTCTTGAATTTATTAATATTTAACATACCTATTCAAACCATATACCTAGTAAACGACATTTTATTTTACTTACATTAAAATGATCCTTAAAATGAGCAATAAAATGGTGACGATGTTTTGATATCGCGCCGAGCTATTTTAATCCACTTTATCCTTATTTTCCCTTTTGGCACGGTGATAAACCTTTTCCCAGGAGTTTTCCAGGTTGTATTTGTACAAGGCACAAAACAATATTTACAACCAATTTTTGGTTTCGCGTTTTCCATGTTAAACATAAACTTTATCGGTGTTTATTATTTGTTGACATCTTGATTTCTGACAGCTGGTTAAGCTTATGACGTCATGCAATATGGCGGGAGTTCGGAACGTTTGAAAAGTACCTTTTTTTCAATTTGATATTTTTGGGCCGGGTTGAACTTTTGGAATATAAAAAAATATTTTCGCAATGTGTTTTTACCTCTAGATTACAATAAAAAGGTTTTTAGGGATTTTCATTTTTGATGCAATTACTCTATTATCAAAAGACTGCGTTCCGTAAGTGGTCACGTGGTGGGACTTTGAGGTCTGATCTTATCTGATCTGTATATTTAAAAATATAATTAAATGGATAAATAGATAACTTACCTTTTAATAGATTCGGAGGTGGTCGGCGCTGCGTCGTCCTCTATTTCCGGTTCGTTTTTCAGGGCCGCATTCAAACTTTTCAGCACGTCGTAGTTAATTTTGGAGGAGATTTTCTTCTCCTGCAGAATTTTCTCGATGGCCTCTCCCGCAGAATTAACAGGACCGATTTTGTTCTTCCGCGCGTTCCGTTTGCGTTTTTTCTCCGGCTTCCCTTCCTCCCGCTCTTTCTGCAGTTTTTCGGCCTTCACTGAAGAAAAAAAAACCGGTAATCCTCATCCTTATAGTATGTTGACCGCGAGAATGTCGTTTTTTGCCGCTGCACGCTTCAAGTTGGCAACACTGATCGAACAAAGACGTGATAAAGTTCATAAACATCCTTTGCGGAATCAAGTTGCCCGAGACAGTGCCTTTCGAACTATAATCCATCCCCTTTTTTTTCTGTTACAGACGTTTAATTAAAAGACCCTTACAAGAGGCTTCTTTGATAAAAATGCACTTTTTTATTATTATTATAAATTGTACAGATCAGTGTGTGGTATATAAACATAAATGTGTTCCTCATGGTTTAAAAATTATCACTTTAATGCGTTTTAATTTTAATTCTGAAAACAAACAGTAAAATGGCCAGTGTCCAATTACTGGTTGGTAAAAAATGTAAATTTCTATTATTGGACATATGTCCAATATCATACTCTATTTGTATCCCGGACATTTACCAGCCAATTCTTATGTAAAATTGCCCCCTGAATCCGAAAAGACCGTCAAAAACTGTAAAAATTACGCAATCCGCTTATTGTAAATAAGTAAATTAAGGACGGCATGGCGAATCGATTTTGACATTAACTGTCAAACCAATGACTGTGATACCAGCTATCTAAAGTAAAATTCGACCAAATTAAATTTAAGGGATAAAATTAATTTTTTTATGGAATTTTTGCAAAATAGATAAAATAGCATAAAGAACTCATGTCATAAGACCTTTTGTCGCACTCGTCCATTACAAAACTTGCTCCTTCGCCGCTCGTTGACTTAATGTGGAATCGTATTATTCCTCTTTTTGGTTGAATTTAATAAACATTTCGCAGAATCACTGAATTCGTGCTAATTGATTAACACGCTTGGTTATGTCAATAGGCATCATCAAATCCGACCTAATTGCCATGATGCTTACATTTAACAATCAGTTAATTAATAATAAAACAATATTTACTTAGTCTTCGATTTATAAGGGTATAAGGGAAAAAGTTGCAGTTACTGCAATAGATAAGTGGAAACTGGAAGTTATTGTTACATCAAGTTTGATAAACGCCATTTTATACACGAATTTAATTTAGGCACGAGCGAGCTTGCGAGCGAGTGCTTAAGTTAATGAGTGTATAGAAAAGTTTTAGTGCATACTATACTTTTTCTACGACAAATACTTATTATTATCTTAAAATGATTTAAATCAAAAATTTGTATAGGGCGCCATCTATGAAACAACAGGGGAAACTGTCAAATGTCACATTTTTACATTTTATAAACACAATTATAAAGGTTATAAATCGAAATGTATCTTGAAAATTGACAGTTTTTCACAGTGAAAGTAAAGGAAATGTTTTATAAGGACTTAACAGTGGAGTCCATGCCCGAATTTAAGTTATAGTTTACTGCCGGAGAAATTAAAAGGTCGGTACAATGTTCATATAAACTTTTCAAATATTGGCGTTGAGAAACTATTTAATATTTTTGTATTTTTGTATTGAGATAATAAAATAATTTTCACATTTAATATTATTTTACAAGAAAGGCACTTTATTTTAACGATTGTATGACATTTGACAACTGTCAACTAACTTAAAACTAACTTCAGCCCGTGACTAAAAACCTGTTGCTAACTTCAGCCCGTGACTAAAGCGCCGTAAAGCCACAACTTGTCAATGTGTATTTAAAAGGTCACTTAGTGTCATGGAAACATGTACGATAAAGGGCGTTTTAAAGGTGGGAGTAGAAAAAATTCTTTAACGTATTTTAACTGATTAAAAGTACATTAAATATCAATGGAAACTTCGCACCCCAAGCTAAACCCTACTCCACTGTTAAGTGAAACGTCTGGAGTTAAATCTATTTAGGCCCCAAATACTTGGAATAAACAAAATGGGACAGACGCGTTTTAAAAATAAAGGTTTTTTGAATTTGAGTTAAAACTCACGGAAGCGCTTTTAAACCGATTAAAAGTAAACTTTTAATGTATTTTACATATGCAATACCACTCTAAAATAAACGCTCGGAATCCCAGGTTCTCAGAATTATTTTGCTGCTTTAAATTAATCAAAAAACTTTAACATTTTAATTAGGCGCGAAAAAATTGTTTGAGTTTCAAACATTTTAAAGTCTAGACGCTGTTTAAGTTATTTTTCAGTATTTTCAACTCAAATATAGGGTCACGCCAAAACAAGACCTATCCTTAAATTAAAAAGATTTTATTTCTTAGCTTAAAATCAAGTCCAGTTGAAGCAAGACCTAATATTGCAAGGCTAAAACTAACATTCTACAAAAGTTGGACAACTTGATGTCATCAGTCAATAGAGTAGGTATTTTAATATTTTTTGTAAATATTTTAGTACATTACAAAAGATCCAGGTATTTTTAACTTGTCCACCCAATTTTAATGTATTTTTTCAAAAGCACGTTTGTAGAAAAACATAATAAATATTCAAAACATCAGTACCTTGGCGTGTCACAACTCCTGAATCAAATATTTGAGTAATTTTATTTTAAAATATATTCAATTTATCTTACATTTTTCAATTCCACTACAAACTATAAAACATTAAATAATGTATTTTTCATATTTTATCATAGATTCGAATAATAGCAATTTTTAAAAAATTGATAATATTTGTACTCACTTTTACCCGTCAGTTCTGTGTCCAATGTTAAAATTCAAAATTCCTGTGAAATATTGAAGTTTAATCGTCAAGTCCTCGTTTTAACTCAAGTGTTGGTAAAAAATTACCTACAGAGCCCGCCCTTTGCACGACAGTCATCTTGAAAACAATGCAAGCGGCGAAGTTGTGGTGAATGCACGTAAAGTTCCAGTCAAAATGTGTCAAATGTGGTGAGTAGTTATTTTCTTACGTATATATATTTCATTGTAATTTATATAAGGCTTTATGTAATTTATGTGATAAGTACCATTCACTAATAAAAAATATTAGTAAAATACTTAATTCCGAATTATAATCTCAAATTTGTATCCCATTCATCAGTACCGTGTCGTCAGTTCCATGTTCGATGTTTCGGTTATCTTTTTTTCGCAAATTTCAATTTAAATTCTGCTTGCATGTCATTATAAACATATAAATTTGGTGTGGGTCCCATATCTAATAATTGAGATATCGGTATACCCAAAATCCACCAGCCGCCACTGATATGTGGTATTATTTGATTTTAAGATATTAATATGCTCAAAGTTGTAATAAATCTTATATTTTCCAATAAATTATGTAATTAATTAGTACCCTGGTATACTCGTCACTTCCCTTGCATTCAAATTTAGAAAACAGATATTTCAGAAACTGTTTGAAAAAGTGACTGACCCGGTCTGGAACAGTATGTTTATTATATTATTTATGTTCTCATAACAAAATACTGTTTAATTTTCCCCGAAAACTATATAAACAAAATGAGGTCAAAAGTTGCCCAACTTTTGTAGAATCAACCATAACATATATTTAATCCAAAAGTAAATATTGTATCTTCAAGAATTATAACGTTTGTATCAAAAAATACTTATTCTTAAATTAAGCATAGTGCATATTTTATTTGAGGGTGCTTGCATTTAAAATAATATGATAGATTTTCTTGAAGTAAGAATAAGTTTACCCTTGCACTTAACATTGAAATTATATCCAAATAAATATAGGTTAGTTATTGCATTCAACTCCCTATATCCTTTAAATAAGTATTAATATAAATTACAACAAAATTTAATTATACACTTACGTTTTTGTGCTTCTAGGTAATCTGCGTTGCGCTGATGCCATAGCCCTTTTTTGCACTGAAACTCGTGCTCGCTCATTATGTAGGTGTCCAGTTCGGCGTCGTCGACGTCATCAAATGTCAAGTTCATTTCCAAGGCTGGAGTCGCCTGTATCGCATTCGTAGTGTCATCAAGGGAGTTGGCCAGGCCCATACTGGCTATGTCCGGACCTGTACAAAAAGTATTAATCCTGACGTTCACTTCGTACAATGAAAAACGATACTGAGGGTGAAAAAATTAATATGTTCTTTTCGCATTAAATCTGATGAATTTCGAAAGAAAAGATTACAAAAAATATAAACACCATGAATTATGGTTGAAAATGTTATATACAGCAAACACCAAAACGGTGTTTATCTAAAAATATTTGAAAAGTGCACCTACACAGAAAAAAAGGAATAGTTCATTTAACTATATTAATTTAGTTGACCCATAAGTATTTATTTAAATCAACTGTGAGAAGGTTAATATAAACAAAGATTAGTTTGACGTTACTAAACCAGATAGTTATTTTGTTTTTTTTTAAATTGGTTAAATTAACCCAGAAAACTTTAGTGAAACCAACCCGCTGCATGGTTTAGTTTACTAAATATGTTGTTTGTAAAATAAGAGTTACTTCAACCTAAAGCACTCTGTTAAAACGATTAAAACAATTTGCCGTGCATTCCTGGTTGCATAGTGTGTACCGTGTAGATCACGTGATGTTCTTAAATCTCGCCTCTGTTGACTTACATGAAGAGTATATAAGCTCAGGTAGTCCTTTGCTTTGGTGCGACACTACAAGTTGTTCGATACTAAAGAGACTTTAAATAGGTGGAAACAGCTGTCAATACTTGAAGTATTTTAAGTTGGTGGAACGCAATAAAAACATTATCTCTAGCGAGTTGAAGGTTAAATTTTCTGGAATATTACCACTGGTAATATACGTCAAGGAACTTCCTGTTTCCTTTTTTTCTGTGTAGTATGATTTAATTTGACCAAACACACATAATATTTAACACTGAAAAGGAGTTCAATTTACACCAGGTAAAATTTATTTTAATACTGTGTGAAAGTTAAATTTACACAGTCTTAGTATTTGAATTTACTCCGGACCAACGAACCATATTTAACACCATTTTGGTTTGTATCGATATAGACCATGTATGGTGTTAATTTGATGTTAAAATGGTCATGAAATTTTGAACAGTGTACAATAAAAATGTTTCTACCGATTTTTGGCAATAACGATTTTACCAGTTTTGCCGATTTATCAATCGCACCCGAAGCTGCTTAAGTTATGTTTAAGGAGAATTCATTCTATTTATGTTTATTTGTTACTTACATATTTTGTATTACTTAGAGACCAATACAACACCGATTTTGCCCATATAAAGTGTTTAATTTTTGTACTTGTAACACCCGAAACAGAACCATGGTAACACCCGAAACAAAGTAAAATTTTATAAAAAAATAGTAAAACGCTGAATTTCAAATAAATGTAACAATGGTCAGGACATTGGGCAAAATCGTTATCCTATAAGCTAAATTGTACTAATTTTACAATTATAGTAATTCCCAAAAAACTTTATGTACTTTATTTTAAGATTATTTTCTCAATTTATGCAAACCACCAATTATTTTCTTCCCGGAATAGTATAAATATCACGAATTGCACTAAATTTGATATTTTAAATAGGTTCCAGGAAAATTGATAAGACCGATTTATATACACTTCTTGGAAATTTCAAACGAGTAGGCCTTTACAGCACTTTCTCATGTTTTTGTTTACATTTTGACACAATATTATGTAAATTATTTCCAATTGAATTGGAAAAAATCCGGTCGCCAAAATGTCGAAGCGGAATATCGCATAATTTCCGCAAACTATAAATTTCCACAGCATATGTGGACTAACAGTCGTGTAACGAATATCTTCCGGCAAAATCACATCAATAAATTCTGTTTTTATGTTGCATCGTGTGGTATAAATACGTAAATGTAAAAATAAACAACCACTTTGTTCAGAAAAGCTTAATAATAAGTAAACATTGTTAAATATTTATAAAAGTTTAAATTATTTCTTTCCCATTAATTAATTTTTTTGCTAAAAAGGTGACAGGAACAATTTGTGGTAAATTGTAACAAATAATTGTAGTAAACTAATCGGCTCATATAATATAAAATTTTGTGGTGAAATTGCACAAATTGTGGCACATAATAACACAACATTGTTTAATAATAATATCTCCAATTTATTTAAGAAATTTAATAATTTTGCTAGGGTGGTAAAAAGGAAAATGAAACTAAATTATTAATTTAGATACCTACGTATTCAGCGACTTATACAAAAAACATGGAAAATATAATACTGACATTGACAACACAAAATAAACATAACAAAACATAAACTACAAACTGAAAAATAAAATTCGTATAGCTAATTCTAATAATATTGAGAAATAATTCAACATAAAGTGCATCTCCACTTATAATAGTACAAATGTCGATAGATTAAATATGTATTCAGCGACCGACACAAAAATTTTGTAAGGATCGAATTAAGTTAATATAAACTGAAAACATAAATTACAAACTAAAGTAAATAGTTAGCTGATCAATAATGTAGCACAGTAGGAACATAGAAACACTTTTTATCCTCATTTGATCACCAGGTCATAATTATTGATTTATCCCAGTCCCTGAACAATTTTGCAAATACCTACCTACCCATTCGGAAAAATAATATTCAATAATTACTCACCAGAAATGTGGTACTAACCTCACAATGATACACTTCCTAACACTAACTTAAACTGCAAACTGATGATGCAGATTGCACTTGAGCGACCGGCCGGCGTCTTATTTCAAGCGGGAAATCATTTCATTGGTTATCTTAGGTGGAGTGATGCTTTACTCCCAAAGAATATGTCCAATATTGTGAAAATTATATTTTAACTCAAAGTTATAGTATATTTATACGAATTATTTAAGACAGATTTTAACTCTTTTCTTGACAATATTGTGCAAATGGTTTAATATAAAATTTTACTGTTTCCAACAAATTATAGAAAATTGACTTAAACAAACTAATTAGAAAAACCTATCCATTCTCTTTGAAGCTTTGTAATAAAAATCTAAGCAACAGTTAAGTCCTACAGGAATAAACAACTTTGATATTGAAATAAATTGACATTATCTCAACTTTTTAACTTGTATTTATTGGAAAGATTTTTAAAAGTTCAGCGTGGTAAAATATTAATAAAAGTTATAAACCGAAAAATCAATGAAATATAAAACTTTTTGCCTGCGTTAAGGATTAAGTCCTAGCTTACTTAGTTTTTGATACATTGTCAGCGAGTTTATTTATGTAATTAATGTTATATATTAAAATACTGAATACCTTTTGACATAAGGAATAAAGGAAAAATATTAAAAAAAAACATTTTTCTAAAGATAAAGAAAAAATATGCATTAGAAGTTTTTTATATTTTTTGTGATACGCCACTGGTTACACACTTAGTTTATCTCTGCACACTTGTATTTTGTGAGTACATAGATACCAACCAACAAAGTAGCTATGCGTTGCCAGATGTAAAAAATTGTTACTAAAATTTTTTTTTGCAAAAAATAAATAAAAACCCAATAAATACAAAAGTTTTATGCCCTTAAAGCTCTAATACCCTTCTGTATTTATTTACTGATCCAGCTATTAGCTTAAGCAATGATTAGAAAATTTAGTACCTTTTAAATTTGAAATCCATAACCACAAAATTAATTTTTTCATCAGTTTTTTTCTCTGTTTACTCAGATGAAATTGGGACCAGTTCACAGGTTAAACTTTAAACATTTAATTTGTGTAAATAAATCCAAAAGCACTTCCCTTAGTTAAGATATTTACAATTTGAAAACATAACCTAAAATTTAAAAGAAATGCACTAGATTCTGTCATAAAAATTGGCAGATTTTGTTTTAATTTACCTTCAGTACAAAAATGACATAATCAACAATTAATAAAAACGCCAAATTGACAATTTGCATTGTTAATTTTGTCATTTTTGTAATTAGGCTAAATTTAAACAATGTTTGTCAACTTTTTTGAGAGATTTTGGAAACACTGTTACCAACCATAACATAACAAATCCACCAGATTAACTTAAAGTTCCTAGTCGATCAGTGGCGTACATTTTGGTTGGATAAAGGTTATTATAAATTATTTTTAGACTTTGGAATTTAGAAAAAAAAAGTTTCAGGTGCTTCTTTATGGACCCTAAGGAACAACCCATTTTAATATATAACATTAATTACATAACACCCTGTATTTTAAAAATGTCAAATTCTTCGGGGGAATTAATCCTAAAACAATTAAAATTAACTTTTTCCAAGCATCGCGGCTTTTAACGTTAAAATAATTAGTAAAGGTGCTTTATCTCTAATGGCTGTTTCTTTTAAGTTAACGAATAGGACAGACGAGCTATTAGAGACAAATTGACGATGCGGCATCAACCTTTGTCTACTATTCCCCCTGTTCAATCTCGCAGTCCCCTTTGACCCCCCACCCGAACCGCAACCCCAGACAATGGGTTTAACCACTTAAGTTTTCCATTTCAGCTAGACAAAGATCATTTTTTTGGTAACAGAAATAAATCATACCTGTGGGTAAGACAATTTTTATCAGAAATCGGCATTAAAGTAGTCAACAAGTTCTACTTTACTGCCGATTTAATACGAGTATTGTATGCAACCCATTATACATTTTAAGATGTGTCTACTGCTCCGATTGGACCATTTCATAAAATGTTGTTTAATAAAAATAATAAGTCAATTTTATTAATTAGATAAAAAAATATATATTTATATTTAATATGCACCTTGGCATTAAACTCATTTTTTATCACTCATTAATTAATAAAATAATAAACAAATATTGGAATTAATCCCGACACCTCCGCCATTTTTGAAACTTTTACCAAGATTGCCAAGATTTAATTACAAAATCAATTGCGATCTTCTAAAACGCTTTAGGCAAGCAAAAAACTGTTTTTAACAAGTAAGAGAAGAAAGTTTTTAGAGCCTGTAATCGAGAATATAATTTATATGTTCGAAAACAAAGTTAATTAAATTAATTTTTAAAAAATTAATGCTATGTATAGTAAATGTTTATTTTCAAAATTTAATCTGAATTATAAATTGTGTGTTCTAAAAAATGCAGTAGCAATTTATCTCTAATATCAAGGTAGACCACATCAAATATAAGCACATAATTAAACAAAAATCATTAATTTTGCATACAAAACTAATTAAAATTAAGGTGTTAAAAATACCACAAAGTAATTTGTTTTTTAAAAAATGACACTTAATAAAAACAATACTTATATAATTATATATATATATATATAAATAATTTTCTTTATTATGTTGGTATACATGCCCCCGAAGTATGATAAAAACTTTAACTGTTTTCATTGTTTACTTTGTCTGTGCCAGCCGCTAAGGTTAGACGTGTTTTAGGAGCTCGGCGATTTTTCGTTCGTCAAAAGAAATGGATCAAAGAATTTGTATCCAATTTTGCTTAAAAAATGAAATAAATTCTGTGAAATGTTAACAAAGGCCTATAGTGAGTCTGCTATAAGTAAAACAAGAGTTTACAAGTGGTATAAGAGTTTCCAAGATGGCCGTGAAGACGTTGAAGATGACGAACGCCCAAGCACATTAACAACCGATACAAACATGGAAAAAGTGGAAGAAATGGTTATAAACCATCAGAGAAGTCGCTGATGATGTTGGTATATCGATTGGCTCATCCCATGAAATTTTTTCGAATGTTTTGGGTATGAAACGCGTGGCAGCAAAATTTGTTCTAAAATTGTTTAATTTTGAACGAAATTTTTGGCCAAAAACAATACTGTAATGATGCCCCAGCCTCCATATTCGCCAGACATGCCTCTGTCTGACTTTTTCCTATTCCCAAAAATAAAGAGAACCTTAAAGGGCCGTCGTTTTGCAAGCATAGATGACATTAAAAGCGCATCGCTGAAAGAACTAAAGGCTATCCCAAAAATCGAGTTTTAGAAGTGTTTCGAGTATTGGAAGAAGAGCTGGCACATGTGCATAATATCCAATGGGGTCTATTTTGAAGGCGACAACATTAATGAAGAATAAAGAAATTATAGTATAACCTTTTAAAAATTAACAAATTAAATGAATATACATTGCTTACCCAATCCTTTTTCTGTTTCAGGCTCAGCGCCATCCTGAATGATTTTTTCTATCGTTCCCATTGTCGATTCGTGTATAAACTCGTTCGTCTCTCTTGCCTCTGTATCAGCTAAACCATAGGAACCTCAAATAAAAATAAAATCGTGATTTTAACTTAAAAAATCGTTTTAGCCAATATTTAAATTTTTTCAAGCTGTCAAATTTATTTAAGAAGTCTTGCAAGCCCTAGAAGCGAAAATAAGACATCCTTTCATTCTTATGGCAATACATTTTAATGCAGCAAACGTTTAAGAACAACTCTTGATTGTTTACGATGGAAAAGCACGGCATACAAAACAAACAATAAATCCAGAGTCCTAAAAATTTAATAAATTTGTAATATCCTTTGGGGACTTGTAAGTTTTATTGTGTAGCATTTTCTGTACGTATAACAAGCACGTTCCCATAACGACAGATATATGAAGTTAAATGGTAAAAATATTGCAATAAAATGGAGCTTAAAGGATTTTATCTAAGCAAACGTTTTCTTAGTAAATAATTTGGAAAACATTTTAATTTAAAATAATTGTTTAAAACTATTTAAAAAAGTTATACTTGGGTCGTTTTCAAAAAAACACCCGCCTTTCGCTGTCCGTAAGTTTGAAATCCAATAACTTTGTTAAAAATTATCGGACCTTATTGATTTAACAACCAAGTGAAAGCCTAACAAGCCCTTAGTAAACTCTTTCAGAAAATGTTTGTTTAGTTATTTCAGAATATTTTTTTTTTAATTTTAAAACTTGTGAAACACATTTTCGCATGTCCCATTAGCGTTTTATAAAACTTACATACATGTTTTTTTTTTAATATTGAATAACCAGAACTTTGTGTTGCTTTATAGCAATCCATACCATCCTTAGTTAATAAAGTAAACAATTTATATACAAATTAATTAATTTTAGTCTACTTTTTTTTAAATTTGACTCATGTCCCAGACATTTTTTCCGTTGCGTTACCGATAGAATATTTAAAAAAACATATATATGGCAACTTTTTTGGCACTCACGTGATCAACAAATAATGTTCGGACGTACACATTACCCAGCTGAATTTATTTATTCAATCAGGAAGAAGATATCGGTTAAAACAGGTGCGGGTAACGCGTATGTAATAATTGTTTGTCCGCTAAGTTACTCAAAAAAAATAATAAAAATAAGGTAAGAAAAAATACTATTTTTCATGTTTATGTTTATTTTAGGGCACTAAACCTCATTAAGAGTAATTGATGACTGTAATGTCTTATTATTATTTTTTAAATATGGTTTCACAAAACTTTGTCCACTGCGTTACCGAGTCCATTACGTTACCTTATGGTAACGCAATTAAATTTAGGGTAACGCAATAGAATTTTTCGACAACAAAGTGGATATTTACCGTCGCTTTTATTAAAAGTAGTTTATGATAAACCAATTTAAAATTATTTGTGATTACAACTCATGATATAGATTACATCCAAGGGAAAATTCCACGCAATATACAAGTGCTAAAAGACACCAGCTTATAGTCAAAGAAAAAGGGTGTCTATAATTTAGAAATCTAAGTTGTTATTCTACAAGGGATTTTGTTTATGCATTACTCTAAAATCGTACCACCCTATATAGTTTCTTTTTTACGTTATCTGATTAAGTCCTTTGTGTACCCCAGTCCGTTGTGATACAAATGTCTATTTCGTTACTTTTTTTAGTTTTTGTTAAAAAAAATCCTTAAAATAATTTTACTATCACTTGGTAATATCTGTTTATAAATTAGAGTTTAACTCACTAATACAGTGATTAAAAGAAAATATTAATGGTATTGTTTTTTAACAAAGAATCGGAATGGTGTCTTTTAAAAAGTAACTTAACTAACATAAATATTTAAAAAAGGCATACAATTTTTAATAAAAAATAAAATTGGAGTCAAAAGTTTGTGAACTAAGTACATTTTATTTCAAATTATTTTTATAACAACTTTTATTGAATTAAATTTTGGATTTTAAATTGGTAACACAGTGGAGACGTATAAAGCTAGCTAAACCCATTTTTCTGAAAAAAACGTAAAAAAAAATTAAAAAGTGCACTGCCTGTCTTAAATGTAAGTAAACAAAACTCTAAACATTTATAAAAATCCAACCAAAAGTCAATTTAAGCAAAAAAAATTTGATCTTCATTTTCCTGAAAGCGGGTGTTTCTTGAAAATGACCAATTTCTCTAAAATTTACTTTGTCGGATTTATAAGATTTATAGTTTTTTTACTAAACAAATACTTTTTAAAATATATAGCCAAGATTCCAAGACTGTCTCGAGGTAATGGATTAAATTCATATAATTTATAAAAGTTGATATTAAACAAACAAAACTCATAGTATTGACTTTTTTTCATTTCAAACCAAACAAGGCAAACCGAATAATTAAAACCCCAATTATTAAAAATTATTTACATAGGGCCTTCATTTGTACCTTTTAAATGCAAAAAACGATTCCTTTTCAAATAACAATTTATACTCATTATGCTTCTGAATATTCGCGTTTCTGTTAAAAGCGTTTTTATAACCCCGGGTCATTTGAAAACGTTTAGCCTATATAATTTATTTCGAGATGAATTCGTCGACCCATTAAGTCAGAAATGAATATATTGAGATGTCCCCCAAGTGAAAATGATTATTTTTTATTTTTGGTTGTTTCACTGTTAGTCTAGCCACCAGGTCTAGTAGTAACATAACATAAGTGGTTCTGCACTAATGCAAGAATTTTAAGAAGTCATACATTTTAAATATTAGAGCTTCACGGAAGATATATTCACGGAGGTTAGGATTTCGTATGTTTTTTTTTTAAACAAGTTATTGTATCTTTTGACCCCTTTATATTTTTTAAAAATACAATTGTATATACATAAAATATTTATAAAAAAATCCACTTACTGAGATATTACACTTCGCACGGTGGTCAAAACTTAAGTATAGGACGAACAAACATGCCAACCAAAACTGATAGCATATTTTGATTATAGACCCTTTTGGTAACACTAACATGTATTTATCAAAATCCCAGCTGATCCTATTTTAAAGTTTTGCTTTTCTATTTCTATATATTATTTTGCAATTATTGTACTAAAACTACCTGTACAATTTTAATAAAATTAAGCAAAATAATAAACTTTGTATCATTTAAATTACTTCACTCCCCAGTATTAATTTATTGAGTCACCTATTATTTTTTACCACTCAAAACAAAACATAACAAAAAAAAACGAAGATTTATATCTTAAATATGTTTTATAACAAAAAATACTGGAAGTTTGCCTATGAAATAATTACAACTTGCAAATTTTGTAAAACAATAATTAAGGTGGTTATGAAAAGAATTGCTATACGTTATAACGCAAGTGACATTTTGCTTTAGTTGTTTATTTAATGTATACTTTATAAAGTTAAAAATAGTATTTTAAAATGAAAATTAAACCGAAATTTAAGTTAAGCCATGAAGAAAATCGAAAGAAGGTATGTGCTGGCTGTGGAGACACAATTGTTTTTGGTAATCAAAAAACTCAGAGTTTAGGGTTTCTGAGAAAATATAAAAATTACTGCAGACTTTTTCAAACGAACACTTTAACTTAAGTGATTCAAAATTACCTACTTCAATATGGTAAAAACGGTATTTTTCCATAGCCACAATTGCCAAATTTTCAAAATTTAGAAATTGCTAGAGAATTTCGCGGCAGCCAAGAATGTATGTGCTTTATCTGCAAAATGGCAAGATATAAAGGGCATAAAAAATTATTAAGGGAAGAGGACGGACGAACGAACTTAAGTTTTGATATGCTCTTCCTTTCTAGGGGATATCGCTAGATGTAAGAAGCATGTTTGTACAGAGACTGAAGAATTTAAAAATACTGGGTCCATGTTAAAAACAATTCCATGTAAAACCCAAGACAAAGTTTACTGAAAATTTAAGGCAAGCAGTAATCAATTTTGCTTCAAAGAATCTTTAGTTATTTATTAGTTTTATATTAGATACCTTAAAACAATAAATAAGATATTGCAAACTGTATTTTACATTATTTTGTATTTATAATGTAATTTATCCATATTTCAGTAATGTATCTGCCAAATTTTTAAAAACATTTGATAATGGTATTAGAGTATTTTATCGAAATGGCATAAAAAATTTTAAAATACGCAAAACTTTAATAGGATCAGCTGGGATTTTGATAAATACATTTTTGTGTTACCAAAAGAGTCTATAATCAGATTATGCTATTAGTTTTGGTTGGCGGTGGGTATGTTTTTAAATAGCAAATTAATGAACTTAAACTTTTGAATTATAAAACAGAAACACTCTCATCTGCATATAAATTCTAACTGACCTTCAGGAATCACATGCATCTATCATGTCGTAAACAGAGGTTTTTGCTTATTTAAAATGATTAGAGCGCCATCCGTTGCATAAAATTTAAAGAAAAAAAAGGGATTCACGGAGGATAGAATCAATTTTCGTAACACCTACATAAATGGTTATAAAAATTATTTCTTTAAATTTTTAATAATATTTTATATTTGATTCGATTGCTTTGGATGTGTTTAATTTACTTAGTGAACTGATATTTTAAGTATGCTTTTACTACCTCAGATATTTGAAAACATATAGGTTAACCTAGAAAGAGTAACAGTCACGGAGGATAGGTTTTAGACTTTAAACATTGTAAAAAATAATTGATTGCGGTTAAAATCTGGGTAGTACGCTGCTATGCATTTAAAAACAATAAACTCTTACTTACGATTAAGTGACGGATGTTTTTTTCGACCGTCCTTTAACTGAACTTCAATCTGTTTCTGCAGCTCGCTTATGCTGTCCGCCTCTTCCTCCATTAACTGTAAAAACAAACATAAAAATCGTCGAAAGAAATTATTGCAGTGCAAACCTTCTGCAGGCGTTCCTTATCCTTTTTCCTTGCCGTTTTAAAGGAAGGAGGGTCCTGCTCTTCTTCGAGATCGACGGTCATAAATTCGTCCAAAGTTAAAGCGCTACTGGGGGTTTCACCGAATTCTATCAGCCTGAGAAAAAGAAATATTTTGCTCATCGAGATATTGCAATATCGTCATGACGGGTTCATTTAGGAAAATTCAACGATTTTTAGTTTTAGTTTTTTAGGTTAATTAGATTTCAAAATCTGTGACCATTGTGCCTCTAACTATTGGAAATACGAAAAAAAAAACTGTCAATCTGTCTACCGTTTTGCCACGTTGTGATTAATAGTTATTTATCGTACTAGTGTGTTATGTTGAAAATTAGTCACGCGAGAAAGATTTATACCACGAGGCCGTCAGGCACTTCAAAATATGGCAATCTAACGAGCTTTTTGAAAAGCAAATCACAGGGATACAAACCAAAGAAGTCCAAGACATTAGAACGACCTGAAATAGAGAAGTTTTTGAACGAAGCTCCCGACGACGAGTACCTGTTGATGAAAGTAGCTTTGATAATGGGGATTAGCGGTGCTTGTAGATGCGATGAGTTGGTCAATTTGAAAATAAAAAATATTCAAGGCAAAGGGAAATATTTTCACGTAGTTTTGCCAGACACTTAAACCAAGAAATTGAGAAGTTTCACCATACTTGAAGAAGGATTTCCAGTCAACCCGATCAATTTGTGTAAAAAATACATGTCTTTGAGACCAAAGAATACTAGTTCTTTTTTACAAAAATGGGAGGTGTACCAGCCAGTGTGTGGGAATAAATACGTTGTCGAAGATACCTTCAAGAATTGCAATGTTTTTGAAATTGGAGGAACCAGCGCTCTACACCGGTCACTGCCTGAGAAGGTCTTCGGCGACTCTTTTGGCCAATGCAGGGGCTAACATGACTACTTTGAAGCGTCACGGAGGATGGAAGTCCTAATTGATAATTATCACGTTATAAGTGTGTTTTCTTGTTACTTTGACACTGTAACACCCGAAATGAAAAATCAAGTAATTGTTTTATTATTACACCTTACAGATTGATTAGTGTAATATTATTTAGTGAAAGTAAGGTTATGGTGGTAATGATTTAAAATACTCATATCTGAGCATAAGACTAATTTGATATGTTTTTTTCTTGATTAAAAACCCGAAACGTTTCGGGTGTTAGAATTTCTTTCATATGTCGAGTACTTAGATAATAAAACACCGATTTTGTCCATATAAAGTGGTTAATTTTTGTACTTGTAACACCCTAAACAGAACCATGGTAACACCCGAAACAAAGTAAAATTTTATAAAAAAAATTTGTAAAACGTTATTTGTGATAGTGATTATGTGGTAAGTAAATATTATACTTTTGGAGGCCTGTAATTTTTAGGAATGTTTCCCTAAGAAAATTCGCTGAATTTAAAATAAATGTAACAATGGTCAGGACATAGAGAAAAAATCGTGACACCCTAAACGCATACCTTTAGACTTATTAAATCGTTATCCTATATGCTAATTTTACAATTTATACTTCGAACAAATGTAACACCCGAAACGATGGAATGACCCTATTTGATATTAATTTAAAGCAAAAGTTCAAGTTTCTATATAGCTGATTGTTAAAAAGTTTTAATTGGGAAAATGAAAAGTTAGCCCAAGGCTTTCCACAGTTTCTTTTGTTATACTTAACATGTACTTATTGTTAAATTTATTTTTTAGTAAATTGATTTATTTTATTTTTAAACTACCTCTTCTTACCTTTTACGTATGGTGGATTGATGGACTTTTACAATTTTGACGATGTCCAAGGAGGTTCGACTGAATTCGTGGAGTCTGGCTGCAATAAGCAGGGCTACCAACAAATACATAAAATAAAATCATTCAAAATTATATTATAAATATGAAAATATTTCCATGAATTAATAATAATTTCGAGTACAATGAACGCCCATTTTTTCCAACAAAGCATATTTAAAAAATAAATTATCAAAGTCATAGCACAAAAACAAAGAATTTGAAATGAAACCGACAAAAGAGCAAACAGCATGGTTTTTAATAAGAGCTTTGTTGAGACTAAATGGATTTTTATTAGAGCTGCAGCGAATTATTTGTTGTGTTCTTTATATACTAAATACAAAAAAATATATAAATTTACGTGGAAATAATCGTTAAAAACATTTTTGTTTAAAGTCTACCCTTACAAAGGGATTAAAATCATATTTTCAAACAAGAAAATATTACTAAAATTAATTATTTTACGTTCCGGAGCAAATCCTTTCTCAAACTAAAATAACAAGACAGGGTTTAACGTTATCCTTTTGAAAGTCATTAATTTTGCAACGGGATCCTTCCCGTTGCGACAGCCGCAGATGACGAGGCATGGTAATATTCAGGGGTGACCTTATAGTAAATAATTGTATTAATCCTATAAACTATTGTTATACGCTAAAGAAGCATCGATAGTAGCGCCACCACGCGTGAAAATCATGGGTTGAGTTTGAGACAAAATTTGATTTTTTCCCTTCCATGAAAAATAGACTAATAGACTAGATCACGTCATTTTTATTTAAGTGGAATCCAATATAATGTTATCCACGGTATTCAGCACATAATATAACAGATTCGATAACAGCTAGACAGTATATTTTCATGAAAAATTTATTCACTGAATAAATGGACAACCATTAAGATTATTTATTTCTTTTAAAATTATTTTAATTATATACAGGGTGTTGCACATTTACGAAATACGGGTGTTTCACGTTCGTGGTTCATTGAGAGTTTCTGAGGAACGGTTAAAGATATCGATTTGAAATTTTTTAAGCGTTAATAATCCAATAAAGCCTATTTTTCTAAAATATTTTAAACTAAATGCCACTTTCGGCTTGACCGGAAGTGACATCAACTTTTTATTTTAAATGAAACACCCCATATATTTTTACATTTTTAAATTCTACATAAAATTTTTAGTAAATTTCCGTTAAAATATGACAAATGCGCGTCAATCAAAAATAGCCTATAACTTTATTGCTATTAGGTTTGCAGAAATAGAAGTGGAATTTTTGGAATCTTAAAACATTGTTTAAAAGATTCCATGTCAATTTCTTAACATACCGGGTGTTACATTTAAAATAAAAAAGTTATTAACGTTTCAAGTTAGCCCAATTTGCCCTGGGGTTTTTCGGATAATTTGTTGAAAAATGTTTAAGAATTGACATGGAATTTTTTAAACAATGTTTTAAGATTCCAAACATTTTACCCCCATATCCGTAAACCTAATAGCAAACATCTACAAAACTATTCACTTTAGGTATAGGACATGGTATAGTAATTTTACTCAGAATTTTATGTAGTATTTAAAAATGCAAAAATATATGGGGTGTTCTATTTGAAATAACAAAGTTGATGTCACTACCGGTGAAACCGGAAGTTGCATTTTGTTTAAAATATTAAAAAAATGGATTATAAACGCTTTTAGATTTCAAATCTATATTTTTTCCGTTCTCCAGAAACTTCCAATGGACCACGAATGTGAAACACCCTGTACATCAAGTGGTGTTTTTAGGTTGTGATACCACTATAGTTTCGAAAGCAATGTATAATCGTCAAACTAAAAGATCAAAATTTCACCTCGATATATTTATTTTTGTGGAAAATATGGATTTTTTTAAAAAACATTGCAATTTCCAATATTTTTCCTGTATAAAGAACTAAGGTTGCTATTGTCCATCCAAAGCCTATGGAGAATGACAGTGACAGTTTTGTTGAATCATCCCATACTTGGGCATGTTATATACAGCTTTCAAAAGGTATCAAATTGTTTTTTGTAAATTAATGTTTAAATTTTGAGGTGTCTTCTTACTTTATAAAATGGATATGTCTCCGACTGATGTTGCCAGAGCTATTAATTTAATCCAGGATGGACGGTCACAGTATTACGTGGCAAGTGTTTTAAACGTCATAAGAAGTAAAGTACAAAGGGCAACATCAGTCGGAGACATTTTTAAAAGTAGGAAGACACCTCAAAATTAATTATTAATTTACAAAAAACAATTTGATAGCTTTTGAAAGCTGTATATGACATGTCCAAGTATGGGATGATTCAACAAAACTGTCACTGTCATTCTCCATAGGCTATGGATGGACCATAGCAACCTTAGTTCTTCATACATAAAAATATTGGAAATTGCAATGTTTTTTAAAAAAATCCATATTATCCACAAAAATAAATATATCGAGGTGAACCAAAAACAAAACTGTTAAGAATAGATGTGACTTGATAAATAAAACTTAATTTAGAACAATAACATTTTGTCTTTTTTCAATTTCAGGCAAAAACTGAGTACTGACCTGCTCCACATAGGCCTGAGGGACGCCTTCCCGAATGTATCGAGTCCCTCTTCATTCGCTGCACGAGTCGCAAGGCCGTATTGGCCACCTGCTGCGTTTTCGAACCGAACTCCAGCTTCGCTGCGAAACGTAGGATGTAGAGGCAAGGATCTGAAACAAAACGGACATGACATCGGGATATTAGCAAAGCGGGTATACCCATCGTGTTTGTTGGATTTAACAGGTTAACAGGTGGATGACAAATGTAACATCGTGATGAATTATTCAATGGGGATTATGTAGAGGGAAATGGGGTTTGTCTTGTTTACGGTAAAACCACATAAATAATTATTATTATATATATTCTACAAAAGTTGGAAAACTTGTCATCAGTCAATAGAGAAGGTATTTTAATATTTTTTGTAAATATTTTAGTACACGGAGAGAACTGTATAGTAAATTTTAGATAGTAAAAAAAAATATAGTAAAATTTACTTTAACAAATTTTTAGGGTAACGATATTATATATTTGTCAATACAATATTAAGATTGCAATACAAAATACTACACCAATATTACTAAATCATAAATGTATAATATATATTTTAATTTTTAATATGTTTGTATAGTAAATTGATTTTACTATCTACAAATAGTAATATTTACTATATGATTTAATCAAATGTAAGGTGTAGATCTAATATTATAATATATTACACATTAATAAAAAATATAGTAAAAATAAAGATACTTTTATGTTTAAGGTAAATAAACAATATATTTAAATATAATATACAATATAGTAACTCATGACATTTTAAACATTCAATTTTCTTAGTTTCTTCAATAAACTTTCTTGACCCATTACTGGTAATACTTATAAGAAAGAATTGAACCTACTTGGTTGCATAGTATGTACCGATTGCGGCAAAGGCCACGTCACGACGTGTGGATCATGTGATGTGGTTACATCTCGCCTCTGTTGACTTACCAACCATGTTATATAAGCTCAGGTATTTCTTTGTTTTGGGTGTGTTCCACTACTACAAGTTGCTCGACAGTGTCATGTCGACACTGATGAGACCCAATATAGGTCAAAACACCTGTCTGTCGGTATTTGAAGTTGATGGAACGCACTCAAAACAAAAAACTTTGGCGAGGTGTAGGTTCAATTCTTTCTCATAACATTTTTGTATATTAAAAAGTACAATAAATAAGTTACAATATTTAATTGATAACATATAAAAATATTCGATTTTAAAATATTTTATATTTAAAATGGCAACATAATATTTTAAAATTTACTATACTTATTAGTAATGGAAAAAATCCAATTATAATAAGAATTGAAAACAAAATTGGTTGAGAATAATAATATTTTACCTTAAGGTTTAACATGGATACATGGATCTGGCAATATACAACATAGTTGTCCCAAATAGTAATATAAATTATAGTAAAGGGTATTATAATTATGGTAATCAGCATTATACTTTTCTCTCCGTGTATATTAGTAAAGATCCAAGTTTTTTAAAACTTGTCCACCCAATTTTAATGTATTTTTTCAAAAGCACGTTTGTAGAAAAACATAATAAATATTCAAAACATTAGTACCTTGGCGTGTCACAACTCCTGAATCAAATATTTGAGTGATTTTATTTTAAAATATATTCAATTTATCTTAAATTTTTCAATTTCACTACAAACTATAAAACATTAAATAATGAATTCTTCATATTTTATCATTGATTCGAATAATAGCAATTTTTAAAAAGTTGATAATCTTCGTACTCACTTTTACCCGTCCGTTCTATGTCCATTGTTAAAATTCAAAATTCCTGCGAAATATTCAAGTTTAAACGTCAAGTCCTCGTTTTAACTCAAGTGTTGGTAAAAAATTACCTACAGAGCCCGCCCTTTGCACGACAGTCATCTTGAAAACAATGCAAGCGGCGAAGTTGTGGTGAATGCACGTATAGTTCCAGTCAAAATTTCAGTACTGTGGTGAGTAGTTATTTTCTTACGTATATATGTTTCATTGAAATTTATATAAGGCTATATATGATTTGTCGATAAGTAGCATCCACTAATAAAAAATATCAGTAAAATACTTAATTCCGAATTATAATCTCAAGTTTGTATCCCATTCATCAGTACCGTGTCGTTAGTTCCATGTTCGATGTTTCGGTTATCTTTTTTTCGCAAACTTCAATTTAAATTCTGCTTGCGCAGAACTTGTTTATTTAATGTCATTATAAACTCATATAAATTTGGTGTGGGTCCCATATCTAATAATTGAGATATCGGTATACCCAAAATCCACCAGCCGCCACTGATGTGTGGTATTATTTGATTTTAAGATATTTAATGTATAATATGCTCAAAGTTGCAATAAATCTTATATTTTTCAATAAATTATGTATTTAATTAGTCACTTCCCTTGCATTCAAATTTAGAAAACAAAGATATTTCAGAAACTGTTTGAAAAAGTGACTGGCCCGGTCTGGAACAGTATATTTATTATAATATCTATGTTCTCATAACAAAATAATGTTTAATTTTCTCCGAAAACTATATAAACAAAATGAGGTCAAAAGTTCCCCAACTTTTGTAGAATCACCCAAAGATAATAATAATAATAATAAGATAATATTATCTTTGGAATCACCTCCTAATCAAGTAACAAACTTGTTAAGCCAAAATACTCAAACACAAAATATCCTGTTTTTCCCAAACAAACAAACAGACACACATTTTTACGAATATGATGGATGATGTTCATCAACAAAATGGATTTATGCTAATAATATATTTGTGGGGTCTGTATTGATTTTAACAAAATTTGTTTTCTGTTCAAATATTACTCTGGTAGGTAGGTAGGTAGATGAATATATTGAGATGTTGATAGGTTTTTAAATGGCAAATTAATGAACTTTTGAATTATAAAACAGCAACACTCTCATCTGAATATAAATTCTAACTGACCTTCAGGAATCACATGCATCTATAATGTCGTAAACAGGGGTTTTTGCTTATTTAAAATGATCCGTTGCATAAAATTTAAAGCAAAAACAGATTCACGGAGGATATAATCAATTTTTCCAACACCTACATAAATGGTTATAAAAATTACTTCTTTTAATTTTCAATAATATTTTATATTTGATTCGATTGCTTTGGATGTGTTTAATTTACTTAGTGAACTGATATTTTTAGTGTGCTTTTACTACCTCAGATATTTGAAAACATAAGGTTAACCTAGAAAGAGTAACAGTCACGGAGGATAGGTTTTAGACTTTTAAAACACTGTAAAAAATAATTAATTGCGGTTAAAAATCTGGAACCTGAGCTGTAATATCAACTTAATTATGAAAGATCAAAACACAATAAAAGTGTAGGTCAAACTCATTTAATTTTATTAAATATCACGGGGTAACACCATTGGGAACATTTTGTGAGATTCACCCAGGTATACATTTTTGTGGCGTACAGGCAATTTTGTCTTGCTAAGTATTTCAGACTTTATAGTAAAAGTGCCTCCTGAAAATATATTATCAAAACTTTGATCGTAAAAGTAAGAGGCAAGGGCCTTGATTGGAAGACAAGAACAAGGATATTTTAAGATGGCATTATGTTTTATTTCTTTCATAAACCAGATACAATATTTTTATATTTTAGGTAGGTAATTAATAAAATTAATTAATTAATTTTCATACAAAGTTGTGTTTTTATGTTTTCAGAGATTATCAGGCTATTATATTACCTATTGGTACTCTACAACTTTCTTTTGTATAGTTTTGGTATCAGCTCAGTAGTTCGATACTGGAGATTTTATGAAGTTGAAAAAGTCCTTTTTTTACAAAAATCGAGGTCGAAAATTTACATATCTTTCTGGGAAAGATAGAAATTGAAAAGGTAAGTCCAGTTTGATTTATTTTACGTATAGATTATACCTAAAGAAAAAAAAATAAGCTGTTGTTGAAAAAAGTCCATGGATAAATGGCGAAGTTCAAAATTCAGTTTTTAGAGAATTTTTACGTTTTTTCTTGAATTATATAAAATTTAATATTGAACATTGATTTTTATTTTAAACATCAAATATTGAAATTAAATTATATATTGAATATTGAAGATATTGAAAGTTTTATTTTGTTTAAATAAGCATAGGTTTAAAAAATTCTGGCTCCTTCTTTGTATTTGGTGGTTTCGTATTCCGTTTCTCGTATAAGGGATAGCCTTCATTTGCTGGTGAAAACGTTCTCCGTGCTCATCACTTACGTCGCCCAGATTGTCCGTGTTATTTACGCACTCGAACTCTCTACTTCTTTTACTCATTTTACACTTTTTATTAACTAAATAAAACCATGATAAAAATACCTTGTTGAAATATAAAAAAATAGCAGTAAAATGTCACTATGTCAACACGAGAAACAAAAGAATTAACGTTTGCGGAGTCATGTCAAATTTAAATTTTGAATAATGTTTTCGGTGAAAAAAGTTCGTAAAAAACTCAAAAAAATTCAAATCATGCACTTTACTTATTCTGGTCTTCCAGTAAAGTTCGCCATTTTTTCATGTAGTTTTATCAACATTAGCTTGTTTTTTTTTGTAATGGAGTTATCTGTTTGATTTAAACCCTTCCCAGGACGATATGTAAATTTTCGACCTAAATTTTTGCCATAAAAACCATTTTTTTAAAGTTATTAAAATCGCTAGCATCAAAATACTTATCCGATATCAAAAGTATGTAAAAGAAAGTTTTAGACGGCTCAAATACCTTCAATTTAAGGGCTTGTTTGACCAAATCGATCAATTAGATTTTAAGCTATTCTTAAAAACGTCAAAACACCTCAGAAAATTAAAAAAAAAACAATTGAAAATTCATATTTTAAAAACGCTTCCATAAAAAATGGGATATGGTGGGCAAATTTTTTTTTCGATTTTGTAAACTGGTGTTATTAATAATTAGTAAATAACTGTTAATTTATTACAAAAAAAGGATTGTTATTTTTTTTATTAAGTTTGTTTTATTATGGTACAAAAATAAAGTCAAAATTTAATTTGTAAAAAACATTTATAAATTGTATATGTCAAGGTTCAAAATATTCATCCTATTCAATCAATTTACATAACGGTCCAAAATGTACTGTTATTATTTCTGTTATAATACATTGTAATACAGGCATTGTGTGTTGTATTGCCTACTTCAAATTTGAATAGAATTATTGTTATTGGTTAACAGTTATGTATTTCACTACAGTAAAACCAAAATAAATAAAAAAAACTTTATATATTTAATAAAATAAAATTGTCAGGATATAAAATTGGCGCACAAAAATGTCAAAACAATTGTTTGCAAATGAGTCTTGATGCTAATTGGAATACAAGTTTTAATAATAAAAGTTACGCGAAACAATTTTAATAAAAAGCATCCAGTTAAATGCAATATCAAACACAAAACATTAAATAAAAATACAATAAAAATTGCCATTGTTAGAAACGCAGAAGCAAAGAAATTTATTCGCGAAGCGTCACTTGAATGTTTAATTTTATAGCGTAAGGAAATTCATTCTTAAAAGTGGTTATAATGTTTATCAATATTACGTAGAACTTAGACAATAAAAGAGAGTGAACAGTTAATATAATTATAAATGATATATTTCTGAAAAAAAAATAATTGGGGTTATGTTACTTCTAAATTCTACAAAATCACTTTAAATAAATAATAGTTTTATTTCGCAAGAATAAATTAAATCAATTAGTTTACTTTGCGACAAGAATAAAACACAATCGATGACTAAATCATGCAAATAAATGCTATTTGTCTGCATAAAACAGCGATTTATTTAAGTGTGTACTCATCAATAGCATTGAGTCGCATTTGCCATACTAAAGAACTCTCTTAAGGACCCCATAGCCGCACAATGCAGCCAGTGTTTTAAAGTTTTTTTATATAAAATTTTTAGTCTTAAAAATATTTTTTTAATAAAACCTTCTTTATTAATACCAACAAAAAAAAATTTTTTGAAAACAATTTTCCAATTTTTTTTTTTTATTTACATAGCTTTATAAAATTTATATAAATATATAAACCGTTTAAAAAAAATGAACAAAAATATTTACTAATTGTGTTTACTATGAACATTGAGTAATTATACACCCTGTATATCGAATAGGACCTATTAAAAAAAAATGGGCAAACATTATTCCATCTTGCCACACTGTGCGCCGTCTCTATTGTTTAAGAATAATCGCAAGAATTTCCTTGACCCTCCCTGTGTTCATACGAGTTTTATTTGCACATTTCAAAACTTATCAGGGGCAAGATTAAGTATATTATCTTGTTAATAAATACTTTGCTTGGAAAAAAAATATAAATCCTGTTTTAATTTTAAAATGTTCAATATACAGGGTAATATACTGGTAGGGTAAAGTAGACAGTTATTGGACAATTAAAATTAATACTGTAAAAACAAGAGTTCTATAAATAGTTACCTATCTCAGTCGGTAATAATATAGAACTACTTTATATTTCTAAAAAGTGTAAAAAGTACATGTCAGTGTGTGGTATAAATGTGTTCCTCATGGTTTAAACATTGCCACTTTAATGCGTTTTAATTTTAATTCTGAAAACAAACAGTAAAATGGCCAGTGTCCAATTACTGGTTGGTAAAAATGTAAATTTCTATTATTGGACAAATGTCCAATATCATACTCTATTTGTATCTCGGACATTTACCAGCCAATTCTTATGTAAAATTGTCCCCTGAATCCAAAAAGACCGTCAAAAACTATAAAAGTTAAGCAGTTATTGAGATATAGTCAATTCCATATTATATGTAAAATTGATTATATTTCAAAAACTGTTCTACTTTTATAACTTTTGACGACATTTTCGGATTCAGCGAATAATATTTCATAGGAATTGACTGCTAAATGTCCTGTATAAAAATTGATGTTGACGAGAATTATTAGTGGCTGCTTTTTCGCTATGACATTTTTTACTAATTCATTTTTAGAGAGTAAGTAATATAGTGATTTCTTCGTCACAGGACATCTTGCAGAATAACAGTGCATGATAGAGAACATAAAAAACTAATGGCAACAAAATTAATAAATTCGAAAAATACTATTTCAGAAGTCAGACCAAGGAATTAGTAGTTACCTTCAGAATCCAGAAAAGGGAATCCGAGAAAGAAATATATGAATTATATGATATTTACAAAAACGAAATAAAAAAATTACCTTAAACAGCAGTTTAAAAATTATTTAACATTGGTGTATTGTTTATTCCACATTTTTTTTTCTTCAAAAGTGACTAATTACTAAAAGTATCACCTAAGAATATCTAAAACTTTTATTTTTTTTTGACCAACCTAGGCTCACATGTAGTATTATTATCTATGTTCTATTTTTATTATACTATTTTTTTTAAATTGATAAATATAATTTGTTCTTAAATAGAATAGTAAAAGGCAATTAACCTTGAATAATGCATTCTTAATTTTTACTTTTTGCAAGTAAATAAGTTTATAAAAATTTTTTTGTTCAATTCATGTTTTGGCATAATTTTATTGTTTGGTGAAAAGTTATCTTACTTAACCAAAATCTAAAAGATTAATTTCATTTATATTAGGTAAACTAATTTATTTTAATTTGAAATACTATTAACCTTCCAAGACAATTATAATTTGCTCATTTTCAGCTGTAACACGTTTTACGTACACATATTACACAGAGGTGTCTTTTACATTCTTATTGCATTTCAAAAAAGGTGCAATCGATTTATTAATATTGTTTACAAGCGTTTTAAAATTGCGTAACTTTTACCTACTGGTGGTTGACAGGGAATACCAATTAAATAAATCAATGCTAACACTAGTAAACAGACAGAAAAAATCCATATAATTTATTGTCTTAAAAATTCAACTCATTTTCTTCCAGAATTTTATTCTTTGTATTTTTTAAACTTCAAATATTGCCACAAAATTATTTGTAATATCAACTTAAAAGTATAAACAAATGGTTATTTTTCTGTTTTCATATTTCTCACATGGCATTTTTAATAAACTGCAAAGTAAAGGTAAATGCACAAATATGTCCATAACATTATATAGCTTAATGGGTTTTACCCGCATATATATATTTTATTAATTTGGAACTTTTACGATGTAGTATAGTATAATAAAAAGAACATATTTTTGAAGGGTAAGCAATAAAGCAAAACATTAATATTACACAGCAAAAAAGAGTTGTTAAATTGGTTAATAAAACAGGATTTTTTTCTTCCTAAAAAAATGGACCATAGTTATTGGACATACAATTTTTATATAAACATAACAACTTTACATCAAATAACATAAATTGTTAAATATTTTTTACAGATAAATTGCTGTTTTAGGTAATTTTTTTTATTTCGTTTTAGTAAATATCATATATTTCTTTCTCGGATTCCTCATCCCTTTTCTGGATTCTGAAGGTAACTACTAATTCCTTGGTCTGACTTCTGAAATAGTTTGTTGCAAATGTGGTATCTCTAGTTTGTGAAGCATTTATAATGTTTAGGCCGGAACAATATTTTTTCGGGTGGTATGTTAAAAGTACTTTCCGAATTTATTAATTCTGTTGCCATTAGTTTTTTATGTTCTCTATATTCTTCAGAATTAAAATTAAAACGCATTAAAGTAACAATGTTTAAACCATGAGGAACACTTTGTAATTTAAACACAGCCCTGCTCTTAACAAAAAAACACCAAAGTAACGACTGAGATAGTTATAATTGTATACAGCGCGATCTAATGATTTGACTTTAAGGTAACTATTTATCTATCTACTTTACCCTATAGGGTATACCTTATTTTATACTGGTTTAGAATGTTTTTTAAATAAATTTAGTATATTCTCAAATAATTGGATAAGTTCTTACCTACATAATAGATCACAAATTATTGTAGTAAATAACGAAAAGTCCGCAAGTTCCAAAGTATCTCTGGGGGTACCTCAGGGTTCAATACTGTGACCGCTCTTGTTCTTGTTGTTTGTTAATGATTTAAATACATGAAATACTCATAAGGTAAGCTTAATTTTGTATTCGGAGGACACAAATTTAATTATAAAGAATGTAACACCAATATTCTCATATCCCGTATCCCAATATCCCATATATGAGAATAAAATGTTTAAATAAAGTAAATAGTTTTTAGTTTTTATATTGATATTTATATTTATGTTATCTATTTATTAACATACATTGTTTTATTTTGACTAGTCCAATAAGTTTTGTAATAAAACTTCTGAGATAAAGAAATAAATATTATTATTATTATTGGTATTTT